TTTGCACTATCAATTCAAAATTCACATAATTTTTGTGCTACCAAACACCAGAATTGAAATTGAAGTCGATCTTCAATTTCAATTCCATAGTTTGAATTCCATGTACCAAACGGGGCCTAAGGGGATTTCAGATGTTACTTTTTTTTATTGCAGTTTTGTGGTGGAAGCTCTTCAAGATGAAAATTATTCATCTTCTAATTACTTTGGTGCTTTAATTGAGAATTACAAAGTCTTAAGCTCGGAGTTTCATTCTATTTCGTTTTCATTAATTGGATAATTGTCTAATGTAATTGCTCATACACTTGCTAGACAGGTGTAGTCGCATTGTGGTTCAAAAGATTCTACGCCTTCTGACTTTATGTTTTCTTTCTTGGATCAGTAATGAATGTTAATGAATGTTTTTCTTTTCCATTAAAAAATTGAATTTTTTTAGTTTACAATTTTTGACTGAAATTATTTTTTATTCAATTTATATGAGTATTGGGGTAGAAATAGAAAATAAATTTTACCCCCCCAAAAATATTTAAACAAAATACGCTAAATTTCATTGTATGAAATCTGTTTTAATCTTTAAAAAATGTCAAATGTATTAAGAGTTTTTTTGAGTTATTCACTCTATCCCTTCTCATAAAATGCATATTTTCTCTTTGAACTTTTAAAAGTATACTATTAGTCCGAATACTTTTTCATAAAGAAAGTATTTTACTCCAAAACTCTTTATAAAGTGTAAGTTTCCCCGCGAACATTCAAAAGTTCATTTTTAGTCTTCATATTTTTCATAAAATGCGTACATCCCCCTAAACCTTCAAAGGCATTCCAATAGTCACATGTTTTAAAAAATAGTGCATGCTCAAAACCCTAAAAGTTTATCTTGGTTGAATAGCATCTTTAACAAAATTTGAATTTAAAATAACTTGGAAGACAAAGGGCATAGTTGCTAACTGTCTACTTTCCAAAATCTTCTTCTCACCCCTCAATTCCCATGGCTGCTAAAGCTGGATGAGAACATCATGGATGGACTAGTTTTTTTTTAAAGAAATTGTACACATTAGAGTTTCATTATTTTTTTTTTTGTGGAGAAACATCTTTAATTAAAAACGAAAGAGGAAGAGTTTGGTGGAACGGAAGAGTAGTCATTATTCAACTAAATGTCCAACATCACTTGGACATTATTCTTCTCATTAGACATTAAGTCCTACTTCGACAAATAACTTATGTTTTAGTTCTATTCAGTGTAAATTTCACTTAATTAAACTTGAAAAACAAACAAACTCATACGGAGTAATATTTTTCCTATGTACTTTTCAGCATTTGATAGGAATAAAATTTAAGAGCATCCAACACGCGTGAAAATCTAGTAGTGTAACACAAAAAAAACTCCCCAAATTGTCAAAAAACTCCCCATTCTTTATTTTTTTAATCAATTATCTTTTGACTAATTATATATATATATATATATATATACATATAAAATAATGAGAAGAGAACCTGCAAGAAATGTGTTCACATCCCCCACTACTCTCGACGAACATGTTGCACTTGGGACATTTCTGCCATTTTTGCTCTTTGGCCAACTTGAAAAACGCTTCGTCCAGCTTTTTCTCATCCATCTTAATTAGATTTGACCCGACCCACTCTTGCTTCGCCCCAAGGGAGGGGTGGGGTTAAGTTAAGTGTCGTTGCGGGACCATAAGAAAGTGGAAGGGACGGAGAAGTGTGAACCGTAAAGGCTCAGCCTAAATAACTCCGTCCACCATATTTGGACTACTCTTTATTACTCTCTCTACTTTGACTTGTAATGTACTACTAAGACACTGTTCTGTTCAATTTATTTTTTTTATTTATTACTCTTTCCATCTTGAAATGTTCTTCCCACTTACTATTCACATGGTCAAACTTTAATCACTTTCTTTACGTATTTTCATTAGGTATTTGATAAAATAATATAGTCTTGTCACCACTTATAGCTTGTTTTGTAGAACTTTTGATGTAGTTTTTAAATATATAAATTTTATTTTTTAATTTTACACTTACAATCAAATAAATTGAATTAAAAATAAAGTCGGTCAAATTTCGCATACAGAACCGGGAAGATCATTATAGGACGAAGGAAGTATTACTTATTTTGTTGTCCAATGGAATTATTAGCAACACAATTCCTTATTCTTCTTAAAGTCTGTTCTTTAGGTCTGGAAAAAAAGCTAGATGTTTGAAGAAAGTAGACAAAATTGGAAAAAACTGGAAGAAACTGAGAGAAACTGAAATGGCTGGAAGAAACTGGAAAATACGGGAAGAAATTTCAAAAAATTGAAAAACCTAAAAAAACTTAAAAAATTTATTTTAAATTCTTGTTGTTATAAATTATTATTATTATTATTATATTTATTATTATTATATTATTATTATTATCATTATTATTATCATCATCATCACGTTATCTTAATAATGCCTTTAAGATACAAAAAAAAGTGTTGTTATTTTTCAAATACAAAAAATTATGTTTGCAAAAAAAAGTATAAGATAAAGTTAGCATAAATATAAAAAAATTAAATTTTAAAAAAATTTTGTGGTTACGTTGCACTTCAATTTATTTATGCAGTATTTATTATAAATAATATATTTGTAATTATACTTTATATATACAAGATTTTGTTTTAAATATTAGACATGTCACATAATGTAATCAAATCTATTTTTTTCTTTCATGATTGACATTTTATTTTCATTGAAATCCTACTTTTAGAATAAAGACATAGAACTTTTTTTACATTTTTTATGTTTTACTCCTATTTTAGTTTTTTTTCTGAACTATTTTGACTTACATTTTTTTAATAAAAATTAGAAATATTAGAAAAATTTAAGTAATAAAGGGAAAGGTGAAAGGTCTTATATAAAGTTAGATTAATAAAATAGTCTATGTCACTGTTTTATCCATAATTTTTTAATATATTTAACATATTGATGTTTTTGTGTTTTATCATGTAGATTAATATACAAAAAATTGTCTTTATTCATATTAAAAAATTGAAGAAAAAATAATGAGTGTGAATCGTTAACATAGTGAGATGAATTAAATAATTTATAAACTATAGTTATGAACATAACAGTTGTTGTAATAATAATAATAATCAATTTAAAAATATATTATTTTTAGAGCATTTGGTTGAGGAGTAGAAAGCGTTTGAAAAAAATGAGAATAGTTGGAAGAAACTGGAAGGAACTGAGCAAAACTGGAAGGAACTTGAAGAAACTGGAAGAACTGAAAAAAACTGGAAATTAAGAATTCATGTCCTAAAGAACAGAATCTTAATAAGAAAAATAAAATTATATTCGACATGATTGTATTAAATTAATTTGAAATTTATTACTCCCTCTGTCTCTTAAAGTCTTTCCCTGATTGACTTTTTAAAAATTTAAGGGAAAGATATTTTTGTGTTGACTTTCCAAAAATATATTTGATGTGATCGGTAAAAGTAGAATGTGATTGATAGATTATTAGTAATATGGTATGATCTGATAGATAGGATAAGAACAGGGCCAGCCCAAGGGAGGGCCAAGCAGGCCAACCGGACCGAGCCCAATATTTTTAGGGGTCCCATTTTTTTTACATGTATACATGTTAGGGGTGAGCGTGGTATGATATGGTACGGTATTTAGTCTATACCGATATCGTACAAAATATTTCGGTTCGGTATGAGATTTTATATCATATCGATCCCGATCCCGAAGTATCAGTTCGATATGGTTCGTGATGGTTCGGTTTCGGTAAATATTGAGACGAATAAATATATTATGAAATACCTAGTTTACACTTTGGAATGTACAAAACTTTTTCTTTAAAAAAAATCGAAAGTACAATCAAATAAAAGAAAGATAAACAATTGAAAAATGAATAATTAAATGCAAAAAATACTTATAAAATTAGTTTAATTTATACTTTATATTTCACAAACAAAAGAGAATGAATGATAACAAAATAATATTTCAAATATTTGTTAATCTTTTTAATATAAATCTACAAAAAATAAAATTCAAATAAATGATTATATAAATAAAAGATTATTTGTAATTCATCTACACTTTAACCAACTTTTCCAAATCAATCTATTTTTTAATGAAGAAATATAAAAACTTTGTTATTGTTATAACGGATTTGTATATATGTTCAGTTCGGGATTTTTCGGTATGGGAAGTTACTTCGTCCCGATCCCAAATACCGGACCGAGCATTCGGTACGGTGCGGTTCTTTTTCGATATTTTATCGGTTCAGTAATCCCAATAAGCCTAGAGTGAGGGTCGAACTTATGCATTATGGATAACTAGTATTTTGACCCGTGCGATGCACGGGGTCGAACGAAATTGTTGTCGATTTTGAAATTTGTCAATGAAATATTTATTCCAGAATCAAGTAAATATATTTATGTCACAAATTTTAATCAATGGAAAACAACAACAAAGTAGAATATAATATTTGAGAAATTGAAAGTGTAACTAATAAAATAAAATTTTGAAATAGTAAGTAAAACCTAAAATGTGTGTAATAAATTAAAATGTTAAAATGTAAAGTAACACAAAAAATACTCAAATGTAATTTATATTTATAAATTAAGATTATAAAACACAGAAATAGTAAGTAACACCAAAAAGGTGTAACGCCCTGAAAACCGGCTTAGTAATTAGCCGTTATTTAATAAAAATAAAAAGATTATTTATTGACTTCAAAATATGAAATATTTGTAAAATTGACTATTTTAGTTAAAAATTAGATTTTCGGGTAGATCTCATAAAATGGTAGCCAACGACATATTGTTTGTCATGTTTGGAATTTCGTGAGAACTGTGGTGAGCGAAATGGTCAATACAGTTCAGTAAATTAATGTATAGGGATTTAATAATACGGAGTAATATTAATGATAATAATGATAATAATAAATAAGGGAAAAGGAAGGGATATCCGTTAGACATATATACAGTCCTGTCTTCTTCTTTACTCACATAAACGACGCTAGAGAGGGGAGCTCGCCGGACATCGCCAGAGTTGTCGCCGGAGGTTGGACACGAATCTTCGCCGGAAAATCTGTCGGAGCTTCGCCGAGGATTCGCCGGTGTAATTAGAGATTTCTAGGCCGATTCAAGGTGAGTGATTTATCTCTCATTTGAATTGATTCGTAGATTAGGATCCGTTAATAGATTTTTGTGCAATTGATGTTGGATTTGTGAGTTGAATTGTTGAATTAATTGGGTGATTGAGTTTGGATTTGGGATTGGAACGTTACTGCCTATTTCTCTTCTCCTTCGATCTGTTCTGTTCTCCCTCGTTCTGTTCTGCTCTTTATTTGGTTCTCTGGCCGCTGCTATCTTCGAGGGTTGCTGCCACGCCGGCTTGTCGACGCGGGACGAAGCTACTGTCGGATTTCCGTTGTTGTGTTTCCGACCATGGAGGTCGCCGCCGGTACTGATTGCCGCTCGGGTCGCCGGTGACCCCGCTGCTGGACAAGAAGTTCGCCGCTGGTTTGAAGAGTAACTGCCGCCAGGTCGCTAACCTTCTGTTGACGCTGTGCCTGTTCCTTGAAGCAGTCGCCGCCGCAATTGCCGGTCCGGGGAAGAAGAACAAAGCTGCCCCTGTCTCCTTTGTCGCGCGTTCCAGTTTGCAGAAGAGGAGGATATGCCGGGCCGGGTTGACAGTGGGAAGCGGGTACTCTTTTGATAATAGGATTGAGGATATAAGTTAATAAAATTGTAGATTGACTCTATGATCCTCAAGACGATGCAATTAGGCCCTCTTCAATTTTATGCCTCTAAATATGAATAAAGACTACAAATTAATCTAATGCATTGTTTAAACAAATGAATTGAGCAATGATAATTATGTAATTAAATTGGATTATGGGAACAAGCCACCTGGTATATCTAGGAAGGTATGAGTTAAACTGAATTCAAAAGGATTAAGATTTAGGATTTAGGCTTGGTGGGGCGAGCTTCGCATAACTCACGGGTCTTGGGTTAAAAACGTACGTACGAGAGTCATTAGCCTACCTAGGGATTTCTTTATAGGGGCTCCAACCCGCCCATTGAGGATTCTCTTTGGGTTTCATCAAGCGTGGCCTCGGGGGATCCGCCCGAGTGTCCATGACTTAGTTAGTCAAAAGGAACCTTAGCCTATATGGTTAAGTGTAGAAGAACAACAAGAACTGATTATACATAAATAAATAGTTGATTATAATATTCGACAATGATATCTGCTGATTCTTCTGATATTGTGTGATTATATATTGACGGGTGCTAGTCTATGAGTTGGTTCTAGCGTTGGATACTTCCACTCTCCCTATTCTTTTTACAAGTAGGGATCAAGAATTGGATGAGGAGCAGCCTGGAGAACAGTAAAGCGTGATGCTGGTGGATGGCTCGATGCTGTTTGGAATTGAATTAAATACTTGTTGACTTTTATTTTGCTTAAACTACAAGAATGTTTGACGTTGTTGTTTTAAAAGCTTCCGCAACGTTTCAGATATTTACTCCAATTAAACAATGATTTGTTTTCCAATAAATATGAATGTTTGTTTTATTTTTAAATGTTTAAAAATATTATGCATGTGAATACGAAATTAGTAGCAACCCGACTCGCTAACTCGTTGGTTCGGGTTACGCGGGTTGGAGTGTTACAAAAGGTGTGTAATAAAATAAAACGTTGAAATGGTAAGTAACACTAAAAACGTAATTAATATATATTTACAAATTAAGATGTAAATGTGTGTATAAAAACGTAATTAAAGGTATATTAAAATTATGATACGATGTTATAAAAAAATTAATTAACATGATACCGTGTTTCATTTTAACTTCGTTCATACGTAGTTTAAATAAAACGATTTTAAACAAAATAATTACCATATACACAGTTTTGGTAAGAATGAATAACAAATAAACTGTAAGTACCTATGAAATAAATAAAATAATTTCCTTATTTTGTTACATGTGTTATAAAATAAAATTTTGAAATAGTAAGTAAAACAAAAAAGGTGTGTAATAAATTAAAATGCTAAAATGGTACGTAACACCAAAAACGTAACGTATATTTATAAATTAAGATGTAACGTGTGTATAGAAATGACAACTAACTGTTGAAAAAATGAACCTCTTTAGGGAATAGAATAAGCAAAAAAATTTCCTTATACACATTGTAATTGAAAAAATCTGAAAAGGAAATTAGAATAAGCAAAAAACTTTCCTTATACCCTCTCGCAACTGTATATTGCAGTTTTAAAAGTAACAAATCGCAGTGGCTTGAAGATTTTGATATCCAACGAAATAATGTTCCCACAAATTGTACGAATAATGTAGTTTATAAAGAAATTTTTCAAAATTATTAAAGCAAAAAACTTTTGTACCTTATAATAATAAAATTTTTATATTCAATTAGATATCATATTCAATCATTCAAAAAAAAATTTAATTTAGTAATTTAAATATAACTTGTACAACGCACGAGTGAGATATTAGTAAATTTTAAGGAAAAATTATCCAAAATAATCCTAACTTTACCCGGTCTTTCAAAAATAATCCCACCTTTTAGTGTGATGCATAATAATCCGAACTTTACTGAATTTTGTGAGTTTTGGGTTGCCGTTAAGTTTCTAACAGAGGCTTAACGGAAATGCTTGTTTTGGGCAACAAAATGAAAGTTGGAATTATTTTTGACGAATTTTCATTTTTTTATTTTTTATTTGAATTTTTCATTTAAATTTTTAAAATTACATTCTACCTCCATCATCATTTCTTTTTCCTTTTTCAAAGATTAGTCTTAGCTTAAAAAAATAAAAATAATAGATATAAAAAAATAAAAAATGAGAAATGTAACTAAAATGATACAAAAATAATAAAATAAATAAAGTAATCAATAGAAACTAACTTGAAATTGGTAATAAATAAAATAAAAATATACGGGTGGGTTTTAATTTTTTACGCAGTATACAAAGTATTAACGTATCACTTCTTATTTTTTAGAAAAAATTATCTACAATAATTCCAACTTTACCGGATGGCTTGTTCTTTTAAAAAATAAGTAGTACGTTAAGGTAAGAATAATCTTTAAAAAAGAAAAAGAAATGGAGGTTGAAAGTAATTCCAAAAATTTAAATAAAAATTTCAAAAAAAAATAGAAACTTAACGGCGACCCAAAACTCGCAAATCTCAATAAAGTTGGGATTATTACGCATCACTGTGAAAGGTGGGATTATTTTTGAAAGACCGGGTAAAGTTGGGATTATTTTGGGTAATTTTTCCAAATTTTAAAGAGTAAATTCCATAAAAGGTCGCCAGTTATAGGTCGTTTTACATATTTAGTCCCTACATATCAAATATTACTAATTTAGTCCCCAATTATTATATCATTTTTCACGAATAGTCATTTGTTAACATTTTTGTTAAGAACATAGATAAAATTGTATATTCATACTTCTCTCTCTCTCATCAATTAAGCTTCCTCCCTCCTCTCGCACTCTTTCCCAAACTCGTAGCTAAGTTTGAAGCTCTAAACCCAAAACCGAAATGATCATTCCTCTCTCAATTATTAGTCTTCCTGGTGGAACCTAAAATCAAAACCAATAAGCTTATGGATGAGTTTTATCGGTTAATCTCAAGAAAGTACAAAGAAAATAAACATCAAAACTCATCCATGAAAGTTACTGGTTTCAAATTTGGGTTTCACCAGTTAGACAAACAATTGAGAGAAGAGTGATGATTTCGGTTTTGGGTTCAAAGTTTCAAACTCAGCGACGGGTTTGGAAAAGGAGTGCGAGGAGAGAGAGGAAGCTTAATTGAGGAGAGAACAATTTTATCCACGTTCTTAACGGAAATGTTAACAAAAGACCATTCGTGGAAATGAATATAATAATTGAGAACTAAATTAAGAATATTTGATATGTAGGGATTAAATATGTAAAACGACCTATAACTGGGAATTTTTTATGGAATTTACTCAATTTTAAACATTAGAGCTATTTTCCCATCTTTATTGGGTTTTATTTTTACAAGCATATATTCCTTGTGCGTCAATTGTTGTCATCACTGGGTATCTTTATTTTTACAAGCATATATTCCCTGACCCCTGTGCGTCAATTGTTATCATCACAATCTCATTTCCACCTTTGACTTTAGTTGAATGTTTTACAGCAGACGATGGCGGCCGAGGACAAGAGACTAGTGACCGTCGCCGCCTTGCAATTCGCCTGCACGGACGACGTCGCCACCAACGTCTCCACCGCTGAAAGGCATCATCTTTCTCCTACTTCGGGTGAATAATTATCATTTCGGGCTGGATCAGTTTGGCTCTAGTTGTTGAGAAATTTTTCTGTTTTTCGCATTGTATTTTTCACAGATTAGTCAGAGCAGCTCATGAGAAGGGCGCGAATATCATTCTCATACAGGTAAATAAAAAGTTGAAATTAAAGCGTTCAATTTTTGAGTAATTTTTGGACTGAATCTTGAGTTTATATCAATGAAAGAGATACTTGATATGATTTATTCCTTCCGTGCATTTACCCATTTCATAAATATGATTATATCTGCTTCAAAATTGTCAATGAACAAACTCATGAACTCAACCAAAACTTTGGTTCCTTGAGTTCAATGACCTGGTTGTCAAGGACCAACTCTATTTTGATTTATGCGCAAGGTACATACGGAGTATGAGTTTTTGTTATTGTAATTGTGTGAGGGAATGTTAGATGACAAAACCATCTGTTGGCATCTAATCATCAAATATTGGTTTAATTGGTTCATAGACACAAGCAACAGCCGTGTAGTTATTAGTTTTGTGGCATAATTCTATACGTAGTACTTTTTTTGTTCTGGAATAATAAAACGAGTAATAATTAATATGTTTGGCCTATGGTTTCTGTTTTAGGAGTTGTTTGAGGGCCATTACTTTTGTCAAGCTCAAAGGGAAGACTTCTTTCAGCGAGCAAAACCATACAAGGGCCACCCTACAATTCTCAGGTGAAATTCAAAAGATTGTCATTGTAACATCTTTTATTTCCAGTTAGTGTGGTTATTCCAATGCCATGAAGTTCCTCAACTGTTGCTACAAATAAACTGAATATCCCATACGTTTATATCATGATTATCTGCTCCAGATAAACATAAGTTCTTTGTGTGCATACATTGCAGGATGCGGGAGCTTGCAAAAGATTTAGGAGTTGTAGTTCCGGTCAGCTTCTTTGAGGAGGCCAATAATGCCCATTACAATTCAGTAGTGGTTATTGATGCGGATGGGACCGATCTTGGAATTTACAGAAAGTCCCATATTCCAGATGGTCCTGGTAAGTTTAGTGGGAGTGTGGAATTGATCTCTCAAATGAGCTGTGTAGTGAAACTGGTCTGTAATTCCTTCATTCTGTTTCTTTGAAGGCTACCAGGAAAAATTTTACTTTAATCCGGGCGACACTGGCTTTAAGGTAAATAAACGTGTCTCAAGTTGGTCCACCAGCTATGTTTCTTTCGTTGTGATTACTGATCTGTTTTCAGAATCTACACTTTTGAATAATATTTTACACTTATGTTGCACAGGTCTTTGAGACTAAATTTGCTAAAATTGGCGTCGGTGAGATTTTATGCTCTTCTTTGTCTTTAGACGTCATTTCCAACGAATTTGTAAAACCCATATTCAGCATTGGCGTGTGTTATATCTTTTATCTTTCGAAACAAATTATATGAGCTATTTTAGGGAAAAGCAGCGGCACTATAGGTGTAATAATTTGAGTCCAGCTAATGATATAATAACCGTGAAACAATCATTGCATTTAATACATATAAAAATAAGGTAGACTCGACACCCGAAATGGAACTGATATTTCATTGTGTATTCGTGTAGCTATTTGCTGGGATCAGTGGTTTCCAGAGGGAGCTAGAGCCATGGCTCTTCAAGGTGCAGAAATACTGTTTTACCCAACTGCCATTGGTTCAGAACCTCAAGATGGCGGACTTGATTCCCGAGAGCATTGGAAACGAGTGATGCAAGGTCATGCTGGGGCAAACTTGGTATGGTCATGAATGTAATTCTACATTCTGTTTATTACCTTTTTTCTTCTTTTCTTTAAATTTTAAGTGTTTGATAAACTTGTTTTATGATGTAAGGTACCTCTAGTTGCCTCAAACCGCATAGGGAAGGAGACGATTCAGACAGAACACGGGAAGAGTGAGATAACATTTTATGGCAATTCCTTTATAGCAGGTACGCAAATAATAAATGCAGTTTATAGGCCAGTTTGGAAACAGTATAATTTGACTGAAGTGGTTGAAAAGAAATTGCTAAATAGATTGAATATGCTGAACTATCTTTATTTTTTAAATATTAAATCAGAGAAAAACATATCTGAAAATACGGATAAAGCGATATTTTTTTTCATTTTATCCAAAAAGTAATTCACGCGCTACTTTTTCTGTTATCAGCCGACACAAGTAGTGCACTACAATAGAGAATTTTCTTGAAAATCAAACTGGCAAGGCCGCTGAGTTAAAAAAAGGAAGAAGTCTTCTACCAAATGGGACAATTAGTAATATAACGCTTTTACTGAATGGGAGCACCAAATGCTTCTAATAATAAGTTCAGTAGTGGTTTGGTGTGAACAAGAAGAGGATTTGACCCTGTCATGGCATTGAATAGGTCCAACTGGGGAAATCGTGGCACTCGCAGACGATAAAGAAGAAGCGGTGCTTGTAGCAGAGTTTGACCTGTTGATGATCAAAAGGAAAAGGCAAAGCTGGGGGGTATTTCGTGATCGGCGCCCGGATTTATATAAGGTGCTTTTAACATTTGATGGCCGCAACCCATCCCTCTGAATCATCACCTCAGTATTGCCTGCATTGTGATGATATTCAGATGGCCCTAAGAAAGCTTTTGCCATCAGCTCAAGGTTTCATTGTTTTTCTTTTCATTAGTTTGAATAAATAAATGGTGTGTACTTTTGTGTGATTGCTAGTATAAACTATACATCCCTTGCAGATAATGAGAGACACTTCCTCCGTCCCATTTTAAAGTGTATGTTTAGATTCTTTACTATGCAAATTGTCAAACACTAATCACTTTCTTTATTTATTTTTGTTACTCATTTGATAAAATAATACTCCCTCCGTCTCAAATTATAATGCATGTTCACTATTCACAGGGTTTAACTTCACTTACTTTCTTTCTCTATTTTCGTTAGCAATTAGATAAAATAAAATATTATTGTCACTACTAGTTTTATAGATCTTTTGATGTAGTATTTTAATATGTAATTTTTATTTTTTTAACTATATACCATTTGTCGTATAAAATGATTTGAAAATAATTTCAGTCAAACATCGTAAACCGAAACAAGCCTTATAAAATGGGACGGAGGGAGTACTATAATAATGTCATCTCTTGCTTTGTACAACTTTTGATGTAATATATAAATTTTATTTTTTCATTCTGTACTAATGTTCAAAAAAATTTGGTTTGAAAATACTTCAGGCTAACATCGTAAAAAGACAACTAAAATTAGGACGCAGGGACTAATTGTTATGACCAAACACTTCCTTTTTGTTTCTATATTGGGGACATAGAAACACGATAAATGAAAAATCTGAGGGTTTTTTTTTGAAGAATGCTTGTACTTAATGGAATTCGGAATATGTTTTAAAGATGTAGATTAATGTTTGAAAACATTAGAACTAAAGAACACGGTGCTATAACTTTTCCTAATAGAGTAAAAGCTAAAGCATAAAGTCAAAGAAAAAAAACTTAAGGTACTCCAAGTTTGCCTTCACCCTAAGAGTAGACGGCATGGACACAATAAAACTACATTGGTACCAAAAAAATGCTTATCATTTTGGAAAAGATGGTAATATCATCCCTAGGATGGAATTTTCTTATTTTAACCAATCAAATTCTAAAAAACTTACTCTAGAGTACCTCAAAATGTTAAGAACTCTCAGGTTCCATATTATTACATTTTACCGTGAATAGTTATTATTTTATTAAATTTTAATAAAATCCTTCAATGTCAAAGTTAAATTTTATTATGGGTAATTAATGTCTTGGTTTTAATTATAATGAAAACATTACCCTATTTATATTTTCATCACAAAAAATAATTTGAAATACAAATTTTATTTTATTCGTTTAAAAATATTATTTAAACTTTATATTTTTTTAAAACAGAAGTATTTATAAATTTTTAATACGTTAACTTTATAAAATTAAATTACTTTGTTAAATCTTTGTTCAAGACACATATTTTATTCGAAAACATTCTATTCATTTTATTTTTCAATTTTATCATACACGTTTTGTAACATTTTACTTTTAGATTAAAACTTTACAATACATATATTCAATTATCAAATATTTGAAAATTTATAAATATTTTAATTTATAAATACTTTTAAAACTTTCTAAATTTATAAATACTTTAATGTATAAACAGTTATAAAATTTAAAAATGTATAAATAATTTGTTTTTCTAGATCATTTGAAATGTGAACTTTCTCATATTTTTCATGACTCGCGACTAAATCTTTGTTTTTTGTATAAGACCCAATTATTTATCAAGAGTGATGCTTACATGGTACTCAAATCCACATTTAAAAAATGGACATTTATCCATTTATCATGGGTTTGCATGTGAATATTTATCATTTTTGCAATACACTCAATTATTTAATCCTACAAATAAATTAAGGTCCATAAAATTAACATAAATCTTAGATCAAGAATTTGCCTAATATCAATGCCCTAAAATCTATGATATTTATTCTTTTATGAATCATAAGACCGGTAAGAGTTTACATTTCTCATAATATGAGACTCAAAATTTCTTATGAGAAAATTGAATTCCGCCCGGAGTAATTTTGGGGAGTAGAATTGAAATTTTTGAAACCAATTATACCAGCTGTTATAAACTTATAACCCTAATCAATCTCAGTCTTTTGTCGCCTTCCCCGCGGCCCTACCTCCCGCGTCGCTTAGGATCCGCTTGCCCGTAAGTGTTCTTATTCTACATGGAGGAGTAGAGCATTCTTTGCATCTTTGAAATTTTCGGAAACTTTATCTTTTTTATTTTCTGTATTGGCATTTGATGAGAGACCAAAATTTCTTGCAAAGATCAAAAAAATGTGTGTTTGATGTTCTGGGTTTGTCCAATTCCTGCCCGTTTTGCTTAAACAAATTGATGGTTTGGTTTTAGTTTGTTGGTCACAAAGTCACATGTTACTGGTTTGAGGATTTTTTTTATTGATCTGTATGCAACAGTAGATTGGCTGGTTGTAATGTTTTTTTATGTTTTAAAACCTGCAGTTTCTCATAGTTCAAAACACAAATGAATGCAGAAATATCTCAAAGTCAAAGAAGGTTTTCAGATCCTTTCGATTTTATAATCCTGGCCTCCAAATTCTGAGGGGGCACTCACCCTCCCCAGACCCTGCTTTCTTGGGATTCTATTGGGTTGTTGTTCTTGCGTTGCCTCCATATCTGCCCTGTCCTAACTGATGTTTGTTCTTATTAAATTACGCTTAGATTATCATTTAAACGACGACTAACAAATGTGTGGGCTTGTTCTCTTTACTTGATTTGATTGATTTTGATCTAATTGGAATCAGTTCTGATCTGGTTTGGTTTCATTTTAGTTACATTTAAAGTTGTTTCTGGTCTCATCTGGTCTGGTCTAGTCTGATTTCAATAAGAATAAGTAGTAAGTAATAAAAATAAGTTGAAGAAAACAATCTCGTAGTTTGGTTCCTTCGGGTAATGTGTATTTTGGTCCTACATATGTAATGCAGGTTATATGGTACTTTACCTACTTATGGATGTACACCAGTAGTGGTGACTTTCTTCTAGCTCTCAAGATGGCTTCAATGCATGATAGTACAGAGAGAGAGAGAGAGAGAGTGATACGAGTGCTTCCCCAGAGGACGTACCGGTTACTAGGCCTCGACGATCGACGCGACGTCCAAGGCGTCTTGATGATTATGTTTAAATCTTTTCTTTTACATTATGAATTCTTTTATTGTATTTTAGTATTTTCGTAGGTGAGCATAATTATAAGCTCTTTCAAGGGTTTTCTTTTCGGTTGTTTCCCTTGACGCCTTTGTTGAACCGACAGGTTAGATAACCGTAGTTTAGTAGGAATGGGTTTCATCTTCTCCTACAAAAAGAGATGTAACCTAGTTATTCAATAAGAAGAAACACTTAATTCCCTAAACCCTACTCTCTCTCTCTCTCTCTCTCTCTCTCTCTCTCTCTCTTCCTCTCCCTCACGGCATCTCCAGCCGTTACCAACTTGGTAACATTGGTGCTTTCATCTGATCTCATCCTCCGCCATGTCTGCCGATCCCAATAAGCAACCAGAAACACCTTTGCCTCTCTCCACAATCATGCAGGCCATACAAAACCTAGGGCTGGAGTTAAACAACACCAACAAGAGGTTGGATGCTTTGGCGCGCAAATTTGAGGCCGACCCTACTGACCCTGGACGGACGAAGAACCCTCCCCCTGAACGTCGTTGGCAGCCACCGCCATCGCGAACTACGGGGCGCGCGGATCCTGCCGACCGTCAACTCCGTTTGCGCATTGACCCTCCTCGTTTCAGTGGTGAGGATTCGGTGGGTTGGATTTTTCGAATTCAGCAATACTTCGACTATTTTGCAACATCCGAGGTGGAACGCATGCAGTTGGTTGGCATGTTCATCGATCACCCGGCTTCCGAATGGTACCGCTATTATACAACTAACTCCTGTGGGGGATCGTGGGTGGAATTTTTGCAGGCGGTTAAGCAACGCTTTGATCCCGACCATTATTTTGATTATGTGAGTCTCCTGTCTAAACTACAGCAGCAAACAACCGTCCTCGCCTACCAAACTGCGTTCGAGGGTTTATTGAATAAAGTCTCGGGTATTCCGGAGGCAACCTTGATTTCCATGTATAAAGGGGGCTTGAAGCAGCCGCTACAGCGGGAGGTTAACCTCCGCAACCCTGGCATGTTAGTGGAAACTTTCTCCCTCGCCCGGGAACTCGCGGCATGCACATCATTCTTGGGGACGCCACGACGGGGATGGCAACCCAGCGCAGGGAGTACTGCGGCGCAGCCCGTGGCCACGGCCGCAGAGGTCACACCATCTAAGCCCTCCTCTCTGCCGATTGTCTGTTTGTCTCCCGCGGAGCGCGCGGAACGCTCCTGGAAGGGTCTTTGCTGGAATTGCGAGGAGAAATATGTGCCCGGCCACCGGTGTGCCCATAAATTTTTGGTGCTCTTGGGGACCGACGATGAGGAACTGACCGATGATCTTGATGCCGATGCCCCTCCTGTCATGACCGACACTGCCCTCATTACGGGTGATGTGTCGAGTATTCTTAATATGTCCGAGTTGCCCAACCCACGCTCGCTTCGGCTCGCGGGCTCGATTAACGGTTCTGCTGTGCAAGTGCTTATCGATGGCGGAAGCACCCATAACTTCATTCACCCAGCGCATGCTGAACGACTGAGCTTGATATTGCACCCGGTCACACCGTTTCGAGTTTACGTGGGGAACGGGGATTCCTTACGCTGCTCCTATTTTTGTCCGAAGAGCCCGCTGATTTTGCAAGGCCATTCCTTCGAGGTTGATCTGTTTATGCTTCCGGTACATGGCCCGGATGTGGTCCTTGGCGTTCAATGGTTGCAGGGTCTGGGCAAAGTCTCTCATGACTATGCCAATATGACGATGGAGTTCCAGCGGGATAATACAGTGGTGGTTTTAAAGGGCGACGTCACCCCGCCCAAGTCTCTGTCTTTCTCGGCTTTCTAGGCCTTCACCGCCTCGGCGTCCGACTTTGAGTTATATGAGCTCTTTCTCAACGAAGCTGCCGCCCCAGACCCTTCCACGCTTGCTTTGGATTTTCCCGACCTTCCACCAGTGGTTCGACAAGTGGTGCTACGCTTTGCAGTCGTCTTCCAGTTGCCATCCGACCTGCCCCCACCACGGCTTTGGGACCATCGGATCCACCTTCACCCAGGAACGAAACCAATCAATGTTCGCCCCTATCGTTACCCTTGTTTTCAAAAGGGTGAGATCGAGCGGCTGGTACGGGAGATGTTGCAACAAGGCATTATTCTACCGAGCCAGAGTGCTTTTTCCTCGCCCGTCCTACTGGTGCGCAAGAAGGACGACACTTTTCGGTTTTGCGTTGATTATCGCGCCCTGAACGCGGCCACGGTAACAGAGAGTTTCAAGTGGAACAATGAATATGCAATTATTTCTTGTGAGATATGCATCAAATACATTCAGAATAGTGGGCGTGAGTTTATGAAATGGAAAGAGATTAAATATGAATTTGAAGATATCGACAAGTGCAATATTTCACACAAAAGCTTGAAGAACAAGTGGGATTCCATGAAGAAAGAGTGGCGAGTTTGGAAGTTTTTGAAGTGTGATGGAACGGATTTAGGCCGGGATCCTGGTTCGAGAAAGCTCACTTTTCCAATGAATGGTGGGATAAGAAAACTAAGGTATGTGTTATATAGCATCAAACCTTTACTCTTTGAATTATATAGCGTAGTCATTAATTTTATACCTCATTATTTGTTAATCTTGTAGGAGAACCCCGAAGCGAAAAAATTCCGCAATAAGTATCTAGACCCTATAATTGAAGACCTATATATGGTCTAAATTATTTGACAACTGTTGTGTCACACCCACAATGGATCCTCAACCAGTGCCACTTGTAAATACTGATGAAGGAAACATGGGGAGTGAGAATGCAGAAAATAGACTTTGTGAAGAAGGCCATGAGAATAATAGCCACCAAGACAATATATGTTCTGAGGGTAGTGAATATTCTTCTCGGTTGGGGGATTTGGACATGAAGGAGTCTTCTTATCATTTGCCTAATAATTTCACAAATGAGGTGAATTGTTGCAATGGTACCACTCAAGTGCCACCATATCAAGGTACAAGCACTCAATGCTTGGATCCCGATCCCATTCGAATGAGGTTTAAAAGGAGACAAGAACCTCTGGATATTGAAAAGAGTCGATGCGGGCAAATTGACACCTTGGTGTCGAACTCAAAAAAGGTGTTGAGAATTTTGACTTTGGATGGAAATTTGAGGAGGAGCACTATAAGTAGTAGTAGTAGTACCGGTTCTAGTGTTGCTTCAGCGATGAGCACTGTTAATCGCATGGTTCGTGATGGGGTTATCGAAAAGTGTGGGGATTTATGGTGTTCTGCAGTTTGTTTGCTTGAAGATGAAGTGAGAAGAGAGCTTTTTCTAAACATGGAAGATGACACTTGTAGGAAAGCTTGGTTGGTGTACGTGCATGAGAAAAGTAAATGAATTTTCCCTTTTATTTGGGTAAATATTTGAGTACTGTATTTAGTTATGTGTGGGGGTATTAGGTGGAATGGTGGTGGAACTTTAATTCCACATACTGTATTATGCATTCTATGGACACTATTTGTACAAGCTATCAAATCCATAACATCCTTTGTGGTTTATCCTTATGAATTAAGCTCGGGGTACAACAAGTGTGACCCCAATTCTCAACTCACTCTTCTCAAAGGGTAAAGAAAAGAAAATGATATTGAAGACTATTTCTTGTTTGATTAGAGATATTAAAAAAAATAAAAAATGAATGAAAAAATTTAGGCAAATTGCACTGTCTATCCTTCAAATCAATGCGTTATCTATGATTAATCTTTCCATTCTGAAAATTCGACAAAATTCTTACTTTTAATGGTCCATTTTTTTAAATAATAGTAAGTTGCTTTTACTTTTATTGGTCTAGTTTTCTATTTAAAATATTCACTTGGTCCTAAAGTGTTTGCCAAATTTTTACTTTTTGCCGTCAACTAGGGTGAAACTTTAGCATATAATATCAATTACTCCGTAATATTCTAATTAAATTTACCTAATTTTATAGGTCAAAGGTTAATATTTTTGTAACTATAATGTGTCATGTTAGGAAAAAATACAATTTCAATTAAAATTAACATTTTATCAATTAAGATTACTACTGAGTATTTTTTTAATTTTAAAATCATAGGTGAAAAATCATTAATTGACCTTAACGGCAAAAAAAAGAATTGATATTTATTTTTTTACAAAAATTAATATTTTTCAATTAAAATAATTAATTTTGATGTATTATTTAAATTGATATTAATATTTATATATTAAAAAATAATATTTTTTTAGCTAAAAAATTGGAAGCATAAAATTAGGAGAAAATATTATCATAAATAGAGTGCATTTTCCAAAATACTAGTATAATTTTAATTGAAATTATATACTCCCTCCGTCTTAGTGTATTTGTCCAGTATGACTTTTTGGAGTCAAACTGGACAAACTTTAGCTTCAATTAAATAAAAATCGTAATGTATTTTAACATAAAAATGACTTTATTGGATTTATCGTATTGAGAACTTTCAAAATTGTATTTCATTATGCTAATATGGAATATAAATTAAGAGTAATTGGAGTTTAAAGTTTGTCTCGTTTGACTCAAAAAGTCAAACTGGACGAATACACTAGGATAGAGGTAATGTGAAATATTAACACTAGTTGAATGCAAAATGTTAAAACTTGACAAAAACTTTAGGACAGAGTGGGTATTTTAAGAAGTCAGATTTGCTACGGATAGTACTAAAAGTCATTACTTTTTCCATTATGGTACTAATTATCATTTATTCCTTGAATAGTACCTTTTTCAACTTGACTTCCCCTTTTTAGCCTCCCATTCCCCATGCCTAAATCAAATCAGGCTCGTCTCTCTCAAACTCCAAATTTCTTTCAATTTTTCTGCACAACTCAATTATTGCCTTTCACCGTCTTCTTCGATCGAACAGGATCATCCACAATTTTTCTTCGTGATTCAAATCCGGCAACTCGATGTATAGATCTGGAGAAGAACCAAAGATATTGATGGATAAACAAATCGACATTGAAAATTGATGAATCCAAGGACATTAACATACGTATTATACTATGACATTATTCGACTAGATAGAGGTCATTGTGACATCGGTGATGGGCGACGACAAGGTGGACATTTTAACATCGATGGTAGGCATTGTGACATCAGTGGTAGATGGTCGCAGGATAGACATTGTAACATCGACGGTGGACATTGTGAAATTGACGGTGGTCGGCGACAAAGTGGACATTTTGACATCGGCGGTGGGCGGCAGCTATGATAACATTGACGGTGGGCATTGTGACGTCGATGGTGGGCGACGGAAAACTGGACATTGTAGCATTGACAATGAACATTGTAACATCGATAGTGAGCGGCGATAATCTTTAGCGCTGTTAGAATAATAGACCAACGCTAGAGGGGGGGTGAATAGCGTTAGATCAAGAAATCGCAGGAATAAATAATGAATAAACGAGAAGTAAAGAGAAGAGTAAGAGGCACACCAATTTTACCCTGGTTCACCACAACTTGTGGCTAATCCAGCCTCCCGAGAGACTCTCTCGAGCTACACTACTATCTCGTTAAGCTTAACGGTGCTTAACAAACCCGTACAACTTGAGAGTTCGAGTCACACGAACCTGAACGAACCTTCGAAGGAAACAACCCTTCCTTCAAACAACAAGAGAAATACTTTCTCTTGTCAAGTGTTTAAGAACACTAAAAACACTCAAGAACAATACTCTCTTTTAGAGTGGATAATGAGTAACTAAGAACGCTCAAAAACACAACACAAGCTTCACAAAAATGGCTCTCAAAAAGCTATGAATAAAGGATGAATGATTTGCAATGAAGGAGTAGAGATGGTGAAGTAATGTGATGTATAAAACAGACCCAAACACCCCATTTTATAGTGGAAAAATAGGCTCCAACGGATCAAAACATTTAAGGGGTGATTGGCACAATTTGTGGGATTTGATTAAATTTGGTTCTACTGAAATTCACCCAGACAGCGCTGTCCTAGGCTTGGACATCGCTGTTCTAGGCTTGCGTTTTGAAAATTGGGAAGCAACGGTCATGCCAACAGCGATGTCCAATACTCCTACATCGATGTTTTGGCTGTTGACTTCCAAACAAGGAAAGTTTTAGCCTTAAATCCCTTCCAACGGTCAGGTCCCTACATCGATGTTCAATACTTGAACATCGCTGTTTAGGTCTGACTTTGAAGGTGGAGTTTTGGCCTGACAGCGCTGTTGCTGCGTCAACATCCCTGTCCAAAAACTTTCTGCCAATGCACTATATTTTTGGCTTAGGTTGCACAGCGCTGTAGGGAAGGCTACATCGTTGTTCCAAATGTTTCTGGAAACCCAACCTTGGCTCAACAGCGATGTTTAATATGCAACATCGCTGTTGGAAGACTTAACGCCAAACCATGGTTTTCAGCTACTCAAGCCAGACAGCGCTGTTGGTTGCACCAACATCGCTGTTGGGCTGGTTTGGCCAGACCCATGGTTGGTTTAGTCATGCCGTTAGCCGATGTAAAAAACGTAAGTTCTCCAAAATAAAAACCAAGTGTTGAAAACATTTGTTTATTGCATTTTGCTAAGAAGTCAAGTAAAACAACTCAAAAACCACGTCATTTAGTTGAAAACCACGGCTAACCAAGTTTGTGTCGTTTCGCATGGTTTTCACTAAACGACAAAAAACGGAAGGTGGTTTTTGAAGCGTTTTTGTTGGAGAACTGTGTAAATATGCCCAGAAGTAAAAACCAATCATAAAAAGTTGAAAACCACTTGGTTGGTTCGGATTCCAAAAACCAATGCCGAAAACCGAAAGCCGAACGCCGGCTTCTGAAAGCCGAACGCCGGTTTCTGAAAGCGGAACGTCGGATGACTTGGTTTTTGGTTTGGGAGAACTCCAAGTGTTTTTAGTCATGTTTAAAAACTTATGAAAAACATTTTTGAATTTGCAAAAAGGGTCTTGATGAATTGAGACTAGAGAGCCAAGATTTGGAAGTTTGTGCCGGTGTTGATCACATTAGGACCGACTCAATGCAATTCTAATTCTTTGTTCTTGATTCTTGGTTCTTGGTTCTCATGTCATCATGCCATGTTTCTTCGCCTTGGTTTTGTTCACTTTAGCCTTGTTGTGTCACGGCGGTTTGGCATTATCAAAACCTGTCATAAAAACGAACACAGTTTAGTACGACGTAGGCGTAAACCCGTGTTCCAACAATTTCCCCCTTTTTGATAATGGCAAACAAGACGGGGATATGCATACTAAGGGATATTTGATTTTCAAAAAGTTGTGAAAAAGTTCCCCCTTAATTTGTGCTTAAAAGAAATTAGTCGGGTTAAAATCAAACGGTCTCGTTTTTAGAGGCTTTCCCCCTTAGTATATGCATAGCCCTTTTCTTCCTTCTTTTGACATTAACAAAAAGATAAAAGATAATTTTATTTATTAAAGGGAAAAGGCGGAGTACAACGGAAGTAATAGTAATAAAAAGCAAGACATTTGAAGAAAGAAGAGATACAAATTCTAGATGTGGCCTAGTCTTCGTCTTCGGTTTCCTCCTCCTCGTCGTCGTCGTCCATCTCATCACCGTCAACAGCATCATCGAACTCGTCCTCGTCCGGGGAGTTTGACGGGGCGTAAGAGCCATCCTCTTCGTCCTCGTCACCGTACACTTGCCCAAGGAATGTGCCTTGGTACGGTGGGGGGACGTAGTTGACGCGTTGGAAGTGTGCGTTCATGGCGTGCCCTTGGCGTTGAACAGCCTCGTCGAGCCGCTCAAGGTAGCCATCCATCCCGTCAACTTTGAAGTGAAGCCGGTTGAGGGAGTCGGCGATGGAGGCAAGGTTGGCCCGGGCCTGGGGTTCGGCTGGACCAGTAGTAGAACGGCGCCGTGGCGCGGCAGTGGCAGTGGCAGGTCCGGCGTTGTTCGACCGCTTCTTGAAGGTTTGGGTGCTGATCGCCCAAATCTTCGTGGCCTTCGTGAGTGGGCCAACGGTGGTGGTCACCTTGAACCGTTCAAGGATGTCCATCACCACGAACGGGTACGGGAGGAGGTGATCGGTGGACGCGGCGACTGTCATGTTGATCATCACAAACTTCGCCCAATTGATTGGCGCTGAGTGCATGATCGCATGAAGGAGCTTGAGGTCCTCACCGGACATGATCGTGTGCCCATGCTTTCGGGGCTTGATGATTCGGGACACGATGTAGAGAAGAAGCCGGCTCTCGGGGTTTGTGGAGTGGATGGTGGGGCGGCCCGAGGCATGGCGGATGAGCTCGGTGATGCCTAGCTCGTTGAGGATAAGGCCCTCGTTGTTGAGCACCCAGTCCTCTCCGCCATAGTGGGAGACGTCGTTGCCTTGGTAGGGGAGGCTGGCGATGCGCCCAAGCTGCTCAATGGAAAGCTCTATCGGCGTGCTCTTGACAAGAGAGTAGAGCACGTCGCCCTCACGCCGGAGGTTGGAGTAGAAGACCCGAATCAGCGCTGGATTGATCTCCTTCCGAGCCCGGGAGACGAATGGCCAAAGGCCGACTTGATGAAGCTGCGCGTCTAGATCGTCGTAGCCCTGCAACTCCGGGAAGCGCTCTGGGACGATCCGTGGGGGAGCCACAACCCGTTTAAAGAAGAAGGTGAGAAAGCGGGTGCGCTCCTCCTCGGAATTGAACCAGAGGTACGACCCATCGCCGTTGTAGAGGCGTTCCTCGGAGGGTGTTGTAGGCGCCCGGTATTTGGACTTTGATTTCCCGGAGGTGGCAGCCCTGCTCTTGTCCTTGCCCATGATGAAAGAAAGATTCAAAAGAGAAAAGTAGAGATGATGAAATAAGCAAAGATATTGAAGAGAATTGTGTTTGTGTGTGTAAAAGTGAAGAGAGGGGGTCCCAATTTATAGAAAAAGAGGTCTCTAACGTCCAGATTTTCAAAAATATGGCTATTGGAGCAATTAATGCTGGTGCAACGGATATATTTTTTTTAAAAAATTGACCAGAACAGGGATGTTCTACAAGGGACATCGCTGTTGGGACAGCGCTGTTGTTCCTTGTACAGCGTTGTTCTGCGTCAAGTTTAAAAAAACGGGAGTCAATTGGACAGCGATGTTTGGTACCCTATAGCGATGTTTCAAAAGTTTCTAGAATTGTGCAAGGGTTTGAACCCATTAGAACAGCGCTGTTGGGTTTCCCTACATCGCTGTTATACGATAAAAAAATTTGTAAAACAAATGGACAGCGCTGTTTCAATGGTGGACAGCGCTGTTGGAAAACTTTCTGTTTTTGTTTGAAAAACAAGGTGTTTTGGAAAACAGCTATGTTGAAAAAGGGGCATCGATGTTCAAAAAGATTCTGGAAAGCAAAGGTAAAAGGGACTCCTTGTAACAGCGATGTTGGCCTTTAGTACAGCGCTGTTGGCTCAAGTTGGTTGACGGTGTTTCCTTCAACAGCGCTGTAGGCATGGTTCCCCCTGATTTCATGAACGGGGTTCCTGCAAAGTAACACTTTGGTACCCAAAATATTTTTATGGTTCCTTTGAGGTTAATTAGTTTTTATTATCCACACACACACACCGAAAGTTTATTTCCACACTCACCTTTACACACTCGGTTTGATGATAATTTAGGGGTTACCTTGGCCAACCCGTTGTCCCGTGGTTGGCGGGTTCCAGTCTACCTGAACGGAATGCCGATATCTCGGTGTGATTTGTGTCGGTTCCGGTAACGGAATGTGGACTTTCTTGTTTTCGTCAAAGTAGAAGAAATAGTAAGGTTTCTTTTGTGCATTAGCCTGTGGAGATGGTTTATGATACGAATATCCTTTTCTAAAGGATTTCTTTTCGTTAGCACCAAATATGTTGTGTGTTTCATTATAGGTGAGATGCCTATGTTTAGTAAAACACACGGGAGCTATATGTCCTACCCTATTACAATAATGGCATACTACGTTTGGGTTGAACATATGCCTAGGTTGATAATAGCTAGGGGGTCGTCTAACCATATTCATCCTATTTTGAGAAAAGGATGTTTTATGCATGTTTTCAAAAGAATCATTTCTAGGTGTCCCTATGTTATTTCTCCTATTTTGAGAAAAATTATTATTATGCACAAAATCATTTTTCTTAGGTTGTCTACCATGAACATTTTCATTCCTAGATTTTAGTCTAGGTTGTCTAGTGTCCTTAGGTTGACTAGGTTTTCTATTATCCTGATTTTTAGGTTTCTTACGTTGAGCCTTAGGTGGTTGTCTAGATGGTGGCTCAACGTTTTCTTTAACCTTAACTTCATTTTTATTGAAACCTATTCCTTCCTTAGAAAAATGCATAGTGTCAAGGAGCAAATTTAAATCTTTGTGCGGAGTATTAAATTTCTTGACCATACTCTCAAGTTTTGTGACTTGTTCCCTTAAAACTTTACAGGATTCACATTCGTTTGAGGAACTTTCTGGTTTGTCGGCGCTTCTTTTGCCATAAAATTTATTTTCTTGTTTTAACTTTTCATTATCTTTTTCCAGATTTTCAAAATCATTTTCAAGAGTGGAGAGGCGTTTCTTTAACGATTTGTTGATTTTAGAAGCGCTAACAAATTCATCATAAAGTTTATGAAGCGCTTCTTGCATTTCTTCAAAAGTGTAAGAGTTGGAAGAAATGGTACATAGCTCTTGTTCATTGTCGGTTTGGTCTTCGTGTGCCATGAGACAGAGGTTGGCAGTTTCATCCTCGTCTTGGTCAGTTGACTCGTCGCTGGAGTCGCCACCCCAAGAGATGTATGCTCTGTGCTTTTTGAAGTGGCGAGTGTTCCTTCCGTTTTTCGGGCATTTGTTCTTGATGTGCCCGGCTTCACCACATCCATAGCACACAGGGCCCTCCTCAACCTTTTCTTTATTTCTTAGAAGTTTGCAAAACTTCTTCATGACAAGCTTGACTTCATCATCATCGCTTGAGTCATTCATTGTCGGTTCTTTGGAGGCTTTTAATGCTATGCCTTTTCTCTGGTCATTGAAAGACGGGTTAAGTATAGTAGATTCATACATTTTTAAGTTACCTCTTAAACCGTCGATGGTGACATTTGATGTGCCGATTGACTCATAGATGGCATCGGCCTTAGATCGCCATTCGGATGTCAAGCTCCGTAGGATCTTTCGCACAAGATCCCTGTCGGTGTAGGTCTTCTTCAAAGCATGAAGATCATTGACTATCTTGGAGAATCGGTCGAACATGTCATCGATGTTTTCGTGCTCCTTCATTCTAAACATCTCATACTCTTGGGTGAGGAAGTCAATCTTGGCTTCACGTACTTGGTCCGTTCATTCGTACGTAACCTCAAGTTTAACCCACATCTCCTTGGCAGTTGAGCAGCAAGAGATTTTGCGGTAGTCATCAGGATTTACGGCACAATAAAGCATGTTTATTGCCTTTGCATAATTCTCGACCTTTTTGATGTCCTCCACATCAAATTCATCTTCGGTCTTGGGGATCAATTTGTCCTCGACTTTCTTCATCGGCACCTCTTCTCCGTTTTTGATAACCAACCATAATTGGAAGTTCGTGGAACGAATATAGATTCTCATTCGTTCTTTCCAATATGTATAATTGGTTCCATCAAAAAGAGGTGGCCGTGTGGTCGATTGCCCTTCACCTATTCCTGCATACAAATTGTTAGAATAATAGACCAACGCTAGAGGGGGGGTGAATAGCGTTTGATCAAGAAATCGCAGGAATAAATAATGAATAAACGAGAAGTAAAGAGAAGAGTAAGAGGCACACCAATTTTACCCTGGTTCACCACAACTTGTGGCTAATCCAGCCTCCCGAGAGACTCTCTCGAGCTACACTACTATCTCGTTAAGCTTAACGATGCTTAACAAACCCGTACAACTTGAGAGTTCGAGTCACACGAACCTTCGAAGGAAACAACCCTTCCTTCGAACAACAAGAGAAATACTTTCTCTTGTCAAGTGTCTAAGAACACTAAAAACACTCAAGAACAATACTCTCTTTTAGAGTGGATAATGAGTAACTAAGAACGCTCAAAAACACAACACAAGCTTCACAAAAATGGCTCTCAAAAAGCTATGAATAAAGGATGAATGATTTGCAATGAAGGAGTAGAGATGGTGAAGTAATGTGATGTATAAAACAGACCCAAACACCCCATTTTATAGTGGAAAAATAGGCTCCAACGGATCAAAACATTTAAGGGGTGATTGGCACAATTTGTGGGATTTGATTAAATTTGGATCTNAACGAACCTTCGAAGGAAACAACCCTTCCTTCGAACAACAAGAGAAATACTTTCTCTTGTCAAGTGTCTAAGAACACTAAAAACACTCAAGAACAATACTCTCTTTTAGAGTGGATAATGAGTAACTAAGAACGCTCAAAAACACAACACAAGCTTCACAAAAATGGCTCTCAAAAAGCTATGAATAAAGGATGAATGATTTGCAATGAAGGAGTAGAGATGGTGAAGTAATGTGATGTATAAAACAGACCCAAACACCCCATTTTATAGTGGAAAAATAGGCTCCAACGGATCAAAACATTTAAGGGGTGATTGGCACAATTTGTGGGATTTGATTAAATTTGGATCTATTGAAATTCACCCAGACAACGCTGTCCTAGGCTTGGACATCGCTGTTCAGGCTTGCGTTTTGAAAATTGGGAAGCAACGGTCATGCCAACAGCGATGTCCAATACTCCTACAACGTTGTTTTTGCTGTTGACTTCCAAACAAGGAAAGTTTTAGCCTTAAATCCCTTCCAACGGTCAGGTCCCTACATCGATGTTCAATACTTGAACATCGCTGTTTAGGTCTGACTTTGAAGGTGGAGTTTTGGCCTGACATCGCTGTTGCTGGGTCAACATCGCTGTCCAAAAACTTTCTGCCAATGCACTATATTTTTGGCTTAGGTTGGAAAGCGTTGTAGGGAAGGCTACATCGTTGTTCCAGATATTTCTGGAAACCCAACCTTGGCTCAACAGCGATGTTTAATATGCAACATCGCTGTTGGAAGACTTAACGCCAAACCATGGTTTTCAGCTACTCAAGCCAGACAGCGCTGTTGGTTGCACCAACATCGCTGTTGGGCTGGTTTGGCCAGACCCATGGTTGGTTTAGTCATGCCGTTAAAACCAAGTGTTGAAAACATTTGTTTATTGCATTTTGCTAAGAAGTCAAGTAAAACGACTCAAAAACCACGTCATTTAGTTGAAAACCACGGCTAACCAAGTTTGTGTCGTTTCGCATGGTTTTCACTAAATGACCAAAAATGGAAGGTGGTTTTTGAAGCGTTTTTCTTGGAGAACTGTTTAAATATGCCCAGAAGTAAAAACCAATCATAAAAAGTTGAAAACCACTTGGTTGGTTCGGATGCCGAAAACCGAAAGCCGAGCGCCGGTTTCTGAAAGCCGAACGCCGGATGACTTGGTTTTTGGTTTGGGCGAACTCCAAGTGTTTTTAGCCATGTTTAAAAAACTTATGAAAAACATTTTTGAATTTGAAAAAAGGGTCTTGATGAATTGAGCCTAGAGAGCCAAGATTTGGAAGTTTGTGCAGGTCTTGATCACATTAGGACCGACTCAATGCAATTCTAATTCTTTGTTCTTAATTCTTGGTTCTCATGTCATCATGCCATGTTTCTTCACCTTGGTTTTGCTCACTTTAGCCTTGTTGTGTCACTGCGGTTTGGCATTATCAAAACCTGTCATAAAAACGAACACAGTTTAGTACGACGTAGGCGTAAACCCGTGTTCCAACAAGCGCGACTCTCTCTCTCTCTCTCTGGCTATAGACCTTGATAGGCCGCTGGATTTTCGAAATTCAATGTCTACTGGATTTTCGAAATTCAATGTCCACTTGTTTTCGAAAAGTGTTCAGTGCCTGCTGGAATCTCAGAATGCAGTCGCGGAAGAGTGTTAAATGCCCAGATCAATTCTTGAAATTCAATCACATAAGAGTTGGGGTTATATTAGTCAATTGGTGTTGCTGACGTAATTAAAAAAGGTTTATGGTAGTACTAGTCCTATTTTGGGAAACTTGCATTGTTTTAGTACCATTTTTGTATTTTTCCCTTTTAAGAACAATTCGAACAATAAAAACAAAATGAACTTACTATTATTTAAAAATTAGGCTAATAAAAGTAAAAATAGGGGTGAAGGAGCAATATAGAAGTAAAACAATGATGAAAGCAAAAAATATGAGTGGAAAAATTAAATCCCACAAATAGGAGTTGAACCGTAAGTGCACAACAATTCGCCGTTAAATCTTTCTAATTACTCGTAAAATCATAATTAGCCCCTTGCTTTGATTAAAGCACAAAGACGAACAATCAAATTAATTGGCTTGCCTCCCAATCCATCTGCTTCTCCATCATTTGTAGAAGATGGCGGATAACGAAGACACTCGATCATATGAAATTGATGATGAACATAATTCATACAGTGTCAATCGAAAATACAATGTTAAAAATGACAATGTACAGTGACAAACATGACATTGTAAAATGCAAAAATACAAAATTTTAGGTCAATCGAAAACAAAATACCAAAGATGTCAATGCACAATGACAAACGTGGCTCTGCAAAATGCTAAAAGTTCAATTGTACAATGTCAAAAACAAAATGAAAGTGTTAAGGAATGTAGTAGGGTTTGTCGTTAACGGGCTCATTCTTGTTGGGCTCGTAATTAGGTCATAGTCTTGTAGCTATTATAAATAGCAGATCTAATTATATTTCTACATGGTATCGGAGCCAAAGCTTGGGAAAACCTAAATTCCTAGTTTCCTCTCGGTTTGCTGCTTCCGCCGTCGCCGTCACCTGTGGTGTGTCTGGCGACGGCGGCTTCACCATCAGATCTCGTTCTTGTCTAGCCCGTGTGGTCCGTTCAAAATCAGCAGCCACATCATCATAGATTGGAACTTGCCGATTTGTTTCGTCCAACCGTAATCAACCAACAACTAACAAAGTCATGTTCGGCGAGTGCAGCATGCTTTGCTCGCTACTCAATTTAGAGGGAGTATCAACCATGAATCATGCATGTGTCTTCATCGTTTGGACTATTTGCAGCCGTTTTGTGTCCACGACCAATTCTAGGATACATTAATCTGAATTTGTATGCTGCAATTCTATGGTTGGCAACAACTAATCCTCTTCTTCATTTGAGGTTTTTAGGCCAAAATTGTTTGGCTAATTGGTTGGCTGAAATTGGTGGGCCCCTCTTGAATTTATTGAATTTGCTTTGATTTGTTCGTGCTTTGAGGAAGAAGGCTTTTATGTTCACTCTACCGTTCATCAAAATTTGATGACGTTTTTGGCGACTTTTTTTTGGTTGTTATTTGGTATGTTCAAGTGCAACCAGTTGTATGTTCGGCATGTTTGTTTGTGAGGTTGGTCGCATAGTCGCACCTCAGTTCGACATATTTGTTTGTGAGGTTGGTCGCATAGTCGCGCCTCAGTCCGGCAACACGGCCTCCAAGTTTGGGATGCTTGTTAGTCGTCCCCGTGTCACCGCGTGGGAGTCATTCGTCATCAAAACTTATTGTTCGTTTGTAGGGCCGGTCACCTTCGTTCGTTGTTGTCACAGTAGATCAAGTTCAAGTTGTTTATCAAGTTTTTTTAGTCTTAGTTTTGTTTTAATTGTCCAAGTTGTGCATTCCTTAACCTCATGCTCAACTTGAGGGGGAGTGTTAAGGAATGTTGTAGGGTTTGTCGTTAACGGGCTCATTCTTATTGGGCTCGTAATTAGGTCATAGTCTTGTAGCTATTATAAATAGCAGATCTATGTGTAATCAAATTCATTTAAGTTAAGATCTAATTATATTTCTACAGAAAGACCATGATCGATGTCAATAAAGCTGGATCTTCCTCTTGATCTTCATGTGTACCTTAACATCGCAGGCTCTTGATCTTCATGTGTATCTGATCGTATCTAATACCAAATTTGATTTTCATGTGTATCAAACCCACGGCGAACAATAAAAAACTAATTTCAAGAGATGTCTCACTACAAATAAAGAACACGCCTTGGAATTGAAACACATCAATCACGATAGATTTTTGGACGTCATCCTTGGAGTCGCTACTCAATCATCGTAAAAATGTCAGTGGTAGTCGCTCCATCTGCAATTGCTTCAATCCCTCGTTTGCCGCTTCTCTCCTAATTGATCTAACTGAGTTATTTGGCCACACAATGGTGGGTAGCAGACTGATGAGGACAAAAATGACCTAAAGAAAATGAATGGCATGTAACTACTCCTACTATTTAATAAATATAGTTAATCACTCTTATTTAAACGAGTTTAAGTTTGAACTCGTACTTTGAGGATATAACACATATTTTACTCCTATTTAGAGAGTTTTCTTTAAAAGTTACGTATTATTTTTATTAAAAAATGGACTTACATGAAATATGACTCGATTGTATGAAGAAAGAGGATTCTTCACATGTATTTATAATAGGAAAGGAAAACACACAGGGACTAATGAAGTTAAGAGAAGGACCAATTGTGCATCACTAACATGACTTGAAGAACTATTCTTGAAATTGTTGAAGTTGAAAGACTAAATGTGCATAATGTATTAACTTGAAGGATCGACAGTGCGATTTAGGCAAGAAGTTGGCTAAGAAGGAGAAAAATAGAATTGCATGCATTTTGGTGAGGAATTCCTTTTTTTGTCTTATTACTGATTTCTGGAATCAAACACAGTATTAGACTCTCCCTCGATCGTCCATGATATTGATAATGAATGACTTAAACTGACCCGTTTTAAGAATTGTAAAGATGTGAGGTGAAAGAAAAACCATTGGATGAAAGAAAAAAAGGATGGGCGAGAGAAAGAAACGTTGGAGTAAAATCTAGGGTCTTCTCCCAGTATATGCATAAAATAAAAAATACATTTCAATTTGTGTATCTCGGTCTGCCATGACTGACATATCTAATTTTTTGACAAGACGAAACTAGTAGTTCCATTTTGTAGACTGAGATGACGGACCACACTTTGTAATTTAATATGGATAAAGTATTGATATTTTATTTAAAAGGTCAAAGGGAACTGATAATGTGTCAACCCCAGGTTTTTAGGTGACAGACTTTTCATTTTCCTCTTTTTTAATATCAAGACATCACTAACACATCTATTTTGCCATGTTTCAACTCTAGATTTTTTAGGTGACATGCGTTTTCATTTTCCAATTTTTTAAATGACTAAAATGGAGGTATGAGTTCTGTCTTGGGGAACATTAACTTGACATGCATTGATAGGAATATCTTTTTGGTTTCCTACATATATTCGTAGTTAGTTCTAAAGTCTTCAGATATTTCGTTGGTGCCTGAATGCCTCACAACATTTATAATGTGGTAGACACTCTCACGCTCTTCTCATCGTGACAACATCATTCTCTCCTTTTTCTACACCAGACTAAAATACTTGCAATGTTATCATCCTCTTGCCCAGTTTCTCCATTCAATTAACAATATTCATCAATTTTACTTAAAAACTTATACCCCCCGTCCTAATAGAAGTACACTATTCAAGCGTGTCAAACCCCGTGATTTTTCAATTTATTTTACTTATAAATTGGTATAGTTATAAAAAATATAATTTACATATTAAAATATTGCATTAGAAGCTCTACAGAACAATAAGTGGCAATAATATTTTATCTTATCAATTGATCAATGAAAACATACAAGAAAACAAAAGTTATTGATATACCAGAATAGTAATAGTATAACTCTTTTAGGGATGAAGAGAGTATAAATTTAACAAAAATGTTTATCTATTCATAAAAATAGATAAATGATAATGAGATGATAAAAAAGAAGTATAACAAAAAAATAAAAAAGAAACAACAGTTATAAAATACGTAACAACGCAATTAAGCATGAAATACTATGTTAATGAAAGGGGGGAAATTTAACATGTTTAAAATTTAAATTTAAATTTAAATTATAAATACTAAAAAATTTAAAAAACTGCTTGGGAATTTAAAACATAAAAAACATATACTACCTATTTCCGCCTCTAGTCATGGCTTTGGCCACGTTGATTATGTCGTTATGAATCTTCAGCTCCCTCTCTGACATTCCTGACGTATCCTCTTTCATGAGTGTCGTGAGGTGACTTATATTACCAGCCGCACTCATNCTCGGAGCCTTCGCCTTGGCCTTCCCTTTCGCCTTCTTTGCCGCCTTTGTCCTTTTTGGACTTCTCTAAGTGCTAGGTTCCTCCCTGAGAGTATTGAAGTCGTCCTCCGGCATATTGTGGTTGATGGATTGTCTTCCTCTACTCGTCTAGTACCCTCAGAGATTTTCGTTTGCTTCGACCCCGATCCTCTGGTGTGCGCCACAGAACAGTGAACTTGAGACTCTTCTATTGAAGTTTTCAGACGTCCAAGAACTTCAAAACTTTCTTTTCTGCTTGGAAATAAAGATCATTGGCCTTCGAGAGAATGTCGTCGACATTAAACCCACTAGCCACGTCTTCTACATATTGGCATACATGCCACAAAACTTTTGGACTCTTCTCATCATGTTCGAGCGTACCTTTGGGCCTCCAGGTGTTGTATTTGTGCGCAAGACATTCCCAGAACATTTTGTGTTTCTGGTAGTTCACGTCTTCCCAACAATGGCATCATCTGACATGTCGACGTAGAACTTTGCTAATGTGAGACTTTTCGCCGCGATAAATTTTTTCGGCCTCTCATTTCTTTGCCTTCCCTTTGCTCTGACCCTCAGTGATGGACTTCAACACAAAAATGTCATAGTTATTAGTATTAATGCTTGACACTCAATGCACATTAATTAGTGTCAAAGCTAGCAAAGCTGGCATATTAAATATCGCATCAATGTCGGATTCCTCGAAAGAGAACTTAACATCATCGGGATTCATTTTTGGAAAGTGAGATGAAAGTGAATTGCGTGAGATGAGAGTTGATGAGTTGGAGCTAAAGATGCGTTTAATTTGTAGAGTAAAAAAATTTAAAACAAAACAAATTAAACTTAAAAAAAAGAAAAAAAACATCCATTGTAGTGGTGCGGCAGACATCTGCAGTGGACACCGTCATTGCCTTTCAGCCCTGCCCCAAGCTATGCCCCACTCTCGGCATCTAGCCTGCGCTGCGGCGCCGGATGCAAAAAAGCTCCTTGTAATCACTGGCCGTTGCGCCCCCCGCCCCTTCGAGGAGCACATCGGCATTTCCGCCTCCCATTGCATATGCCTCAAGAGTATGTTTGGTGAACAAATCAGATATGGGTTTGAATATCAGAGATATCAAATTTAGAAAAAAGGTGTTTGGTGAATGTAAAAAGAGATCAATTGAATATCAGAGGTATTTGTTTTGCCGCTTTCGAATGTCTTGTCTCCATATCGGAGTGGGAATTCACGCGTCCCTATTAACTTGCGGCACCCAACACAACTACATATCCGCTTTTTTGTTGTTGCAACTTGCAATAGCCTTTTTGTGGTGATTTTCATTTATAGATATTTCTACTCTTTTTTTCTAAAAAAAAAAAGCTATTCAAAATAATTTTTCTTTTAAACAATTTTTAATCATTCAATTTTCATTTTCTTGTGCTTATTATCGTAAGTGTTACGAGTATTTTTTTTGTTAACATAGGACTTACATTTGATTTCTTAATTGCTCACCAAACACTAATCGTGATTGATTTTATTTCTGTTTTGAGTGTTTTCTCCAAACAGTTTCCTTTTAGATTTCTAAATTTATTTCATTTCTCTTAGATTTCAAAACTCATATCTTACTATATTTCCAAAAATCGCCAAACCAGCAATGATATCATACTTCGTATTATGACATTGGGCACTTATATTACAATATTCCGTTACGTCCAAAAGTGGTTTTTACCTCTCAACCTCCCGCCCGTATCCCAATCCCCCCCGCCCATCCCACCCACCTCTTTTCCATTTTTGCAGATTAGCAAGAATCATACTAAAATTGTTGTCAATTGGCATTGCGAGGAATTTGTGGTCCTCTTGGTTTCTTTGTTTCTAAGAATTTTTCAAGTTGGAGACTCGTTTCAATCTTTTTCATTTCATTGTGTTAGCGACATAGCAACTGTGTAGTTCATGCCCATATCCTTACTGAAAAAAATGTTCGAAAAGCCATACTGGATTACGATCTTCCCAGAAAAGAGCTTCAGGTTACAAAATCTCAACAAATGAAGTTCAAAAAAGTTGGCAGTTTACTTCGGATTAACCTGTAGCTCCACATTTGCGGGGCGAATCTGACTGCAAATCAGGAATCAGAGTCCGAATCTTGCTCAGTATCCGACTCTGATTGGAAAGGCTTTAATCTGTTGGTATTGGCTTCTAATGGAGGAAGCCCGTCATCCTCTTCATCTTCCTCGTCATCACCGCATGTCTGAGACGCGTGCCTTTCTAAATTTTGTGATGAACTTTCTATTGCTGCAGATTTGAAGACATCTGGCCTGCGTTGTAAGATGGCAATAACCAAAAGCTTATATTGTCTCTCGTGGCTTCCAAAGAAAACCCAATCTTAATCTCTACTACAAATGCATTTCCCGTAAAAACCTAATCTCAATCTTCACATTTTTCCACCAAAGACGGAGGGGGAGGAGGGTTCAAGCACTCACCAATCTGGGGACTTTTGATACTCGCGAACTTGATCATAAAAGAGAACTTGTGTGACAGTGCAACCCACTTTCATCCCTGATTCAATTGCTTTCTCCTTTGCGCTCTCGTCAACCACAACAAAGTTCCCTAGTCATTCACATAAAAGAACAAGAAACCACAAGATAAAGATTTCATAATCTCCGCCCTTTTTCAATAGAATAAACCGTAATAAATAATGAATGTGTAGGAAGATATTATTTTAACAAATCAAACCTCTTTTAATCCACATGCTCTTTTGAAACTTGGCTGGGAATATTGCTAAAAACTTTTCACCCTTTGCATCCATTACCTTTTAAATACAAACTATTCAATTTCGAGCAAAGCACTATATAAAGTATACATATATAAAAATATTGTGTTTGGAGAGAGAGAGAGAGAGAGAGAGAGAGAGAGATGGAGTAACCTCAATTTGATTGGAGCCACGGAGGTCAACCACTTGCATAATCATTTGGCCCTGTTGAAGTGCTGTGGTTTTATTATTTATGGCTCTCTTTAAATTCTTTCTTCCCCCTTTCATGGATTACTACTCTATTTGTATTCCCCTACTTGTTTGTACTCAAGCCCACTGCAGACGAGAAACCCCAAGGCAACGTAATCTGTCAGAGTTTCAGAGATTAATGCTGCAATACCATGTGACAATCAGTTACGCCAAACCTAAGCTAACATACACAGTATATCTCACACAAGAATTGGGTTTGGAGGGTAGGATGTATGGAGATATTACTATCACTATGGCTCTACTTCAAGAGTAGAGAAGCTGTTTCCTATACGATTCATGGCAAAACAGTGAAAATAGTGCGCAGACTGAAAGAAATGCCTACATCACTCACACATAGCCACTACAATCCTATTAGGATCCGATATACAGTTACTAAACAAGTTTACATTACTATTGAAGTATGAGAGTTGGTGTCTGGATGAGAATCATATTACATGATTGAATGTTTTAGAATTTAGGCAAAGTATGGGCCATAGTTACGGGACATCCCAATTTATAAGGTCAAGCTATCAACAACCCTTTAATGTTTGAGAAAATAAATCCAGAAGCTATTTATGACAATATGACAACATATGTGGCTCTGTATAAGCAGAAGAAGCAAGTATATATGTAAAAATGCTTCACAAATATTGCAATGAAAACAATGTTCAATTTAAAGATGGCATTAATTCTTTGCAAAATTTTGGCAAACACTGTTTATGCTAACTTGCAGGGACATCCAAGACTCTTTTAAAAATGAGGTTGTTGGCATTATACGAGTAAGAGAAAGCATATGAGATTGTGACAGTGGTGAATGGAAGAAGTCATGTTTAAACGGTTTAAGAAGCAACCGAGCTGGAAGCTAAAACAAACTTATTCAAGTGAGATAGAAACACAAAAATATGGGAATACATTGGAGCATATCTAAGGCCAACCCGGGGGACTTAAGAGCTCAAGCCTGAGTACAACAACATCAAAGCATTAATCCTAATTCATTGAGAACAGCTATATCAACCTTATCATCCCTTCAAATCATCTTTTTACATTCTTTTCTATCATGCATCACACGCTTATTAAGCACCAACAATCACAATCTAATGTCTTTTTGCACAACCATTCCAAGTCATTTTTGGTCTAACCCATACACCAAGACTGAAGTGGGTCACCTAGTTCTTGACGACTGAAGTAGACCCGTTCTACTTTATCAAGCCCAAGTGCCCAAAAATGATTAGAAGATTCTTAGATTGATCATCCAACACCTTCTGATGCATCTAATAACCATAGTTATCACGGTGCCGAAGTGAGGCATGGAGCCAGCTAGTGGAGTGCCAGGATGCCTAGTCGACTAGGTGTTCGCCTAGTCGATATGTAAAATGTGGACCACATATTTTCCAGGAGCTCATGTTTGGATTTCTTTATTTTTACTAAGGCTCAATACATAAAATCATTTTATGTATGAATGTCTATAAACAAACATAGAGCTGATGACCAAAAAGAATTTGCAGTTAAAGAGTGGACAAAGTCACATATTTTTGGAGAGAAAAGATAGAGAAATAAAAATCCTTAATAGGCATCGAATTACTAAAAAAGGAAAAAAAGAAAAAATAACCAATCAGCTTACTCGCTGGAGCCTGAGCATCTCCAATAGAGAGTGTAAAAAATTAAAAGCTAAATGCCAGTTCACCTCTTAGGCAGTGTTTTAGCTTCCAATTTTTTATCTCTACTCCAACCATGACATCTATATTATACATTATTATTATTCATCTTTCATTATTATAAACTTTTATTTTATCAAAAATTAAAACTTTTATTTTGTCAAAAATTTCTTCTAGTTGTTCATTGCTCAAGATTTTGGAAGTCATTTGAAGAAACAATGGCAAATATGCAGAAATCACATGACCGAAAATGTGCAAAAAAAAGTTACCCATGAATAGAAACTTTTTCAGCAAAAAAGAACAACAAAAAAGCAAAAATAATGTCTGCAAGAACAGAATCAGAAAACAAATTGGGGAAAAGCAATAAAAACCTCGTTGTTGGAATCAGCAGAAAAAAATTGCAATCCACAGTTGCAATTTCGGGTAAAGAATTGCTCAATCGAAGATGCTTCATACCTCTAGAAAATTTTTGCAGGAAAGGGATGCACTTGATCAGATCTTTGTCTCCTAGGGTTGGCCTCCAAAAAGCATCGGAGAAGACAGCAAAGGGTAAGTGAGTTAGTCGCTCTCGCTACTCAGCTACTCAGTCTTCGTTTAGGGTTAATCGCCCTTTAACATAAACAAATCGACCAAGAAGTAATAAACTTGACAAAAGGTCAAGGAGCTATGGCGTCTAAACTGGATGCCTAATTACACCAAGTGGATGCCAATACGGCGAGGCGAACGTTCATGGGAGACTCATCACCCGCCTGGACGCCAAACCGGTCGGTGACTACTCCGACTAGGCGACGCCATGACAACAGAGCTATCAACATACATTTTGGATATTAAATATGGATTTGCTTATAATTACTTTTGTACATACCTGATTCTTCTGCAGAGATGAGGAAATTGGACAAGCAAGTTGGTTTCAGGTTTTTTAAGAACGGGTTTAATTCAAAGTGTGAACAAGCTTTCCCATGATAAAAAGACTATGCATTTAGCGTTTTTAGAAGGATGTGCATTAAAATTTTATTTAAAACGCTCATCAAATTTCTAACATTATTCCCAAACAGGCTAAAATATAATATTGCATCCTTCAAACCCTTATAAATTTACTTTTTCGCCAAAAAAATCCCATTTAATTTGTTAATTAGTGGTCAAATAGTTTTTTTCTTCACTAAATTTCGTTAGTCATTTGTTAGAATATTATGGTGATGTCACATCTTGTTTTAAAGAGCATTTTATGTAGTATAAATTTTTAAAAGTAAATTTTATATTTAGTCCTTTATTACATGGGGTTTTCCATATTTGATCTTCTGTTATCGAATATTTTGTTGTAATCCTTCTTTTATGGGTAGGTACCTTTCCACAGATATTCTTTTTTGACATTCAATTATGTTGGTGTTGAATTAAAGACTAAAAGTGTAATTTCACATTCACCATATATCGAGTGACATATTATAATGTTGGCCTGACGAACAACCATAAGAATAATGACTATGGTTGTAGACTGGGATTCCGACCAACGAGATCTATGCTCACTTCGCCAGGGATGGTTTCTCGGCGAGCGAGTGCGACTTGCCACAGAGATGTGGCATGTTTGGGGTTTGTGAGGACAGCCAATGCGTCGCGTGCCCATTGTCAAGCAAGCTGATAGGTTGGAGCAAGAATTGTGAGCCACTGCCCGCTTGCGGTTCGAATAAGTTCTATTACTATAAATTGGAAGGGGTTGATATTCCTCAAGTAAGTATGAAAGTGTGAAAATGAAAGAGGTGGACTGTGGGAAGAAATGCTCAAGTGATTGCAAGTGCAGTGGTTATTTTTTCAACAAGGAGATATCAAAGTGTTTCATAGCTTATGATCTTCTAACCCTGGCTAAGGTTGAAAACTCCACACATGTGGGCTACATTAAAGCACCCAAGCTCTAATAGCTGCTAGCTAGGACATCTTTAATTATCTTGAAGTGTTCTACAATAAAGTGCTGGAGATATATAATAAAGTTGCAATTATTTCTCCCTTCATTCAGTTTTGTGTCGCTAATGATCTCTTTTTTAGGCAGTTTTTCCCCCTAATGTAACACTTGTGTAGTCTTGTTTTACGAGCAGTTAAATGTGCTTTTAACAAACAATGTTCTTGTTTAGAAAATTAACATGTGTTTATTCCATTTGTTTTATTTTCATGGAGTTCTTTAACAGGATCCAACGGGCCGAGTCGTGTATAGTAATGTATCGACCTTTAAGGTCCATAACTTTGTTTTTAGTAGGATCGGGTTTGCTATTCACAACAGGATTGCATCACAACTTGTTTCCCGTCACGTTTTTGTAATTGGTTGAAAGTATAAATTTGATCTACAACGGAGTACTCATCTTTTTTAAGTGTCACTTTTCTTTTGATACTCCCTCCTATTAAGAATATTATATAATAGGAAATGAATATTATATTTAACTTTCTTCCTTATTTATTATTTTCAAATTGTATTGTTATTAAAATTCTTCTTCTACTATGATTACAACTCTCTTGTAATCCCTATACATATGGAGGCATCTTTCACTATTCAATAAGATCAACTATTATCAAAGTGTATATCACGTCCATCTCGAAATGGATACGAGTGTTACTATTACTGCCTCTCTATAATTTTAGTATATTTTCATTGTTAATTTTATAAAATAAAATAATCTTGTCACCTATTTTTTATAGAGTTTTGTGTACTTTTAAACGATATAATTTATAATTTTTGTTTATATACTGATTTATAATTAAAATAATTTTAAAAATGATGAGATTTTATGCATTGTTTAGAGTGTGACATCTAATATAGGATGGAGGGAGTATTTCATAGGGGCACAATTCATTTAATATGTCAAATAAAATTTTGTACAATACTAAGGCAGCGTTCCGATCAACTTATTTTTTGTGCTTATTACTTATTCTTATTAAAATCAGATCAGATCAGATTAGACCATATCAGATCAGATTAGATCAGATTCAATCAGATCAGACCAAATCAGATTAGTTCAGGTCCAATAAAATCAGAACTATACAAAATAATAATTATTATTATTATTATTATTATCACTATTAATATTAATATCAATATTATTATTATTATTATTATTATTATTATTATTACTATTATTGTTGTTGGTGTTATTATTATTATGATGGATAAGTATTTGGAAATAAATGCAAAGATGAACTCAAAATGATGCCATACTAATTTGCCACGACTCTTGTTGCAATATTAACCATATCAAAGAAAACACCACCCATTCAAAGATAAAAAAACAAAGTTTGATTATGAGATGACAAAACAACACATATAAGTCATCCAAAGCCCTCCTTATTATTAAACTCCTCGAAAACCATCCACCAAAAGATATAAATTATGAACATCCCTTATTAGTTATTACACCAATACCCATGTGGTTTGGTAAATGTGCAGTGTTACTCCCATAATTTCAAAACTTACATCGTTGTCCCTCATGATTTTGATTTTGTTATGCCAATGCACTTCTAGAATAAAATATCTTTTAAATATTAGGTGAATAGCTTTGATACCCCCTATGTTTTTGAAAATGGGCACCAACATCCCTCTTTTTTTTCTATATATTTTTTTCTACTATTTTTCATAAATTTTTGTTAATTTATTTTTTAAAATTATTTTTATAATTTTTTAATAATCGTTTTTTTTGTATTTTCAATAAAATCAATTAAATAAAAAAATTAGCACACATTTCATTTGTTTCAAATTTAATATTTACATTTTTTGTCCAAAAAAGATCTTTATTAGTTCATTTTCATGATACAAAAATCAATGAGACATTGCTTTTCGGCACGGTCCTTGTGACATTCGATTAGAATCTCATAGCAGGGCACAAGCCTCCTACGGGGCTCCGTTAGTGATTAGTAGAAATTTTGGTACCGTTTTTGAACAGTCCTGTGGTTCTCCACGATTTGGGGTTTTCACATAAATTGTGTGTCCTCTATTTATTTTTATGCTATTTATTGTATTTCATGATGTTGATTTTTTAGGTCCATTGTGCCTTTCCATTCATCTCGTTTATTTTGAAAAAAAGATTTTATTGCGCTCTTGTTGTGTTTCGTCCTTGCTTCCCCAACAAGTGGCATCAGAGCTTGATTATTTTTACTTGGCTTCTTATTATATTGATTATGATGGATGAGAAAGTAATTGTGCAATGGATGGTTAGTTTGGACTCCATGAATTATTCTATTGGGAAAATTCATATTAAGGATTATTTGTATTCTGAATACTTGCTTGACCCAATTTTGTATATCAAGAACATCCAACAGGTTTTGCTGAGAAAGATTGGACTAGCTTGAACCAGAAACTCTTGCATGAGTTACATAATATGTTTCTTTAAGTGTGTTGCAACATGTTGCTAATGAAACTAATTCTTTTAAGATGTGGAAGAAACTTGAGTCCATGTATGAGAGGAACAATGCTATGGGTAAAGCTTTTTTGATTATGAAGCTTGTTAAATTGTAATAAAAAGATGGTGATAGCATTGTGCTTCACATGAATGAGTTTCTATAACACTCCAACCCGCATAACCTGGATACATGGGTTAGCGAACCAGGTTGCTACTAATCTGGTATCGAAACACGCCATATTTTCAAAACAATTTAAAACATCCAAACATTTCTTATAATAAAATCCATCACCGGATTAAAAATCCAACCAGTGCGGAAGCTTAATTTATTTAACACTTTGGTTCCCATGACATTGGCCCAATATCATGGGATGACTCGTGGGTGCTCCAGGGCCCCGTTCGTAAAATTGACGGTTCCTACCCACCCTAACCCCCTCGGTAAACCCCCTCACCCCGCCCCGACCCGAACACGCCCCCCACCCCCTTCAATTGCACCCCCCAAGTTGATTTTGACTTTGGAGTCAAATTTTGTATGAGACTTACCCAGTGACCCAAAATTGAATATATAATACTACTTGTATGAGATATTTGTATTTTATTCTTTTACTTTATTTTCTTTTTAAACATTGAGTGGTCAAGTGACTAAGTTTTGCATCTCGGATTTACGCACAAAATATGTCGTTAAACACATCTCTTTGAGACCTTCAATTTAAGCATAGTTTTAAAAACTTGATCGGACCGACCGGTTCAGATCGGGAACTGGTTAACCGTTTATTGAACCGGTCTAGTCCGGGCAATCAGACCGGCTTCAACAATGAACCGGTGGAAACTGGCTAAAACTGGAAAACACCGGCCGGTTTCACTGCCGGAACCGGTTTTTTTCATTTTTTGTGAACTTTTTTTAAAAACACATGCCCCATTACCCCATATTTGAATCCAACACCTCATGACTAATAAAGGTCATGCTTCAAACCATCTCTTCTACAATGTTTGGTCTCAACTATTTACTATTTGTCTTTAATATTGTTTAAGTACAAAATTCTTTATCAAATACTTTAAAAAAACTATAGTGTTTTTAACTAAAATTCAAAACTCATTGATATAATTGAGACGAAGTGCATTTCAAACAAATATTTTATTTATATATATTTTAAATACTAGGTAGAATGTTTTAAAAAATCAAATAATTTTTTTATTTATAAACTTTTTTAGTTATGTGATTTTTTCATGTGATGACACAACTCAAGTAAATTAAGTTATTTATAAATTTAGTCAAACATAAATTATTTATTTATAAATAGAGGAAATATTATTTTGTTTACTCATATAGTATTCGTTTTTTTAATTCAATGCCACATGTGTGACTATATATATATATATATAATATGAGATGGGTTTAGACATAGAGAGAGAAAGCTCCGCCGCCTGGTCTAGATCTCACCACCGTCGCTGGGGTTTCACATCCAATTTCAAGGTCGCCGGAGAAGGAAGAATACAAGGTAGACCAACATTTGTGAGGAATACTCGAAGAAGAGACTGGCAGAAACGAAAGGAGGACATAGATGGATGTTCGAGCTGCACAATCGTCGATTTCACCTTTGGAATCCAATCGAAAAGGTTTGAGTTCAGATTTTCAGCCTTTAATAATCTATGTCAAATTTCTGAGGGAAGACGATGGAAAACCTTCCGTTTCTGGACAAATCTTAGAATTCTTCGCTGGTTAAGTTCCTGCTTTGAATATATTCTACTTAATCCGGTGGTAACCAATTGGAATCAGAGCCTTAGGGAGGGTAGTAGAAATTTTAGATTCTCCCTAGATTCGAATGCATCTGGTTTTTTTGTTAAAATTGTTGAGGAACACCTGTTTGGCTATACTACCATTTTCGTACCTAAGGATATTTGCAGACATGGATTTAGACTATTCTTGGCTCACCTTAATAAGGCTGGTCATACTCTTGAGAACGGGAAGGATAAGTCTATAGGTGAGGAGCAACCTCATTCTATCCCTTCATCCATTTCTAAATCTCTGTTTGATTCTGACATTGGAAGGACTCACAGTAACCTCTCTTTTAGTAGTGGTGCTATAGCCATCCAACCGATTTCAACATTAGCAGCCAAGGAGGGGTCGTTGGTATTGAATTCAACTCAGTCTTCTCCAAATTTAGAGCTTTTTTCAGATGGTGTCAATGCTACTCAATCCTTTCCAATTGATGATCAAGATGCTTTGCAAAAACCCCTACTTTCTGCAACTCCAGCTCCTTCTAAGCAGGCAGTTTCTGCCCCTTTTGATGAATGTAAGCAGGGTCTTAATGCTAATTGCTCAAATAAGCCTCCATTGAACCACACGGTCAGAGCTTTAAACATTCATGCATTACCTTTCCAGCCCTCTATTCCAGTTTTGAAGCAAGGGAAATCTGTCAAGGAATTGAAAGAGTTGACAATGGAAACAGAGCAAAAGGCATACAGTGGAGGTCTCCAACGAGGTATGTCTCTTAAGGAATTGAAAGCATTGGCATTCCATAAGGAGGCAGTTCAAACAAAGTCGGTTACCACCAAACCCTTGGGCCTTTTAGACTTGAAGCTAATTTATGAACGCTCCCCACAAATCAGCCTCATTGATATGTCTTTTGGGATGAATGGAGAAGATCATAAGAGGCAAAAGGACGGGGGAGTTGAGGTTTCTGAAATGGCACATGACAAAATTGAGTTGCCTATTGATGATGAAGATTCTTACACTCTAGAGGCTAAAATGGAGCTTGATGCTATTCATTTGTTGGATGATTTCAATCCCAAAGGAGGTGTGAAAGGAAAGAAGAAAAAGAAGAAGTTTAACAAAAACAATAACGGAAAAAAGAAGATCTGATCTTGTTATTCTTTGTTTTCTTTTTATTTGATTTTTTGTTGGCGAACTTCTTATGTTGATTTAACGTAGGCCATGTTTGGTTTTAGATTTGAGGAGGATTGCAGTTATCTTTTGGTTTTAGTCGGGCTTGTGTTGGGGTTGAGCCCGCCCCCTCCCTTTGTATCGTCTTTCTTTTATTTATAAATAAGGCAGAGCTTCCCTGAGCCTGCCACACCCTCGGGTGATTTTTCAGGCAAAAAAAAAATGTATGTATGTATGTATGTGTGTGTGTATGTATGTACGTATGTATATATATGTTTGAACCACTGGTTCGACCAGAGAATCACTGAACTAGTGCCTTGACCGGTTCGATCATCGGTTTGGTTCTGAAAACTATGAGTTCAAGTATAAAATTGTTTATAAAAGATAACTTTAAAAATAACTTATTTTAGTACGATCTTTATTAATTTTATTTTATTAAATAAAATTTAGAATTATATTTTGTTAGAAATTCATCATAACTTTTAGGGTATATTTCGGGGCGTTCTAATACAATATTAAAAACTGATTTTTCAGATATTTTTGTGGATTTTAAAAAATATGATTAAAAATGTATTTTAAAAAATTATTTAATCATGCAAACCAAGGCTAAAAAAACTTGAAGCACATATGGGATAAGTGTTTAATTTCAAAAACATTAAAAAAGAGAAAGTCTTATCCCAATAAGTTAAAAAACTTACCTTGATTTATGTCATTCTTTTTTCGTCTTGGAAGGTTTCTAATTTTTTTTCTTTTGATTTTCTCTCTCTTGAATCTTCATAAAATTTCAATTGGATAAAAATCTTGTACTTCTTCTCGTTTCTTTTTCTGTCTTCTTCACCACTTGACGAACTAGAGTCATTAGATGTTTCAAACTTCTCACTTGAGTCATCACTAGATTCCTCCTTGGATGCCTTGAACGTATTGCTTTGTTTTGGATCTTCTCTCAAGTATTCTTCTTTCATCTTAATCATCAAAAGCTCACATATATACAAAAAAGACCAAATGTGGGCAGTACTTTCCGTTGCACATTTAGGTAATAAGTCAACAATGCTATTTTGCCACTCTTTTGGCAAAGAAAGTTAATTTTTTTGTATTTAATTCACTTGTAGAATATTCCTTACCCAACTTAATCAATTTGTTGACCTCATCATTATATCGTTTGTTTGCATCTTAGATTGACTCGTGTCGGCCAACTTTGAAGCTTTCATATTCCGAGTTTCCTAAGGCCAACATGGTTTGCTTCGTTGTGTTGTCACCTTGATGCGTGGCTTGAAGCAAACCCCATCCATACCTCCTTGGCCGTTTTGAAGGAGCACACACATGTGAATTCATCGGGTCCAAGGGAGCAATGAAGGATGTTCATGGCTTTTGCATTCATTGATAATTTCCTCTTATCCTCAGTATATAGCCCTACAAAATTACCATTGCTTGGCAAAAATAGCCTGTGAAGTATATTCAACCACAAAAAAATCAATGAATTGTATAAAGTTTTTCATCCTCATTTTCTAATATGAATAGTTTTGGTCATTGAGAAACGAAGGATAGTGAATGATTTAGGATTCCATTGAGGACATTTTTCAAATTTTGAACTTCAGAAAACAAAGATAATAATAAAATATTTAAATTCTATAATTCAATTTAAAATGGGCACAAGTAGATCTTTGTCGTAGATGCAGTTAAGCACTTTCAACTACGAAACCACTCTCATACCACTTGTTAGTCGATGTACCCGCGCCCTAAAGGGGGGTGAATAAGGCGTTTAAAAACTTTTCATAGTTTGAGAAAAATGGTGTTGGCAAACACGAAAGGAATAAATAAAATGTAGAATTAAAAGCGTAAAATAAATAACACACCAATTTAAGATTCCTCCTTAAGGATTTCTGGATCTACTAACTCCTAGTTTATTGAACTCCATAGACGGCAGGGAACTCATTCACCCAACGAGAAAATGCCGAGGTGGTTGAGCTTGATATTCTTGATATTGTTTATGAATTGAAATATTATGTTGATATTCATGATGAACATGTATGCATGATATCGTGTGATGTTATGAACTAGTGAGGTCATCTATATGTATAACTCAATGTTAAATATTTCTCACTTATTTAGCTTCAATGTTGAGCATGTACCATTTGTTCTTTTGCTGCCCGTAGGTAATCAAGAACATGGTGAACCTAGAGCCAATCCCGGAGGACGATGATGGCAAGGAGATGTGCATGGATGTGTGTTGCATATTTGAATGTAAAATTTGCTGCAACTAGGACTAAAAGCCACTACTTTTCCCTAAATAAGACTCTTTACTTTTTGTCCTTTTTCTAAAACTAAAATTTGATCATTTATCCATATTTTCCCTTCTAATGTTATCTCCCATTCACGCGTTGGTACACATATTGTCCTTCCATTTTTAATTTTTATGTTCTTTACATATTTAGAGATAATACCAACCATTAAATTCTCCTATTTTTAGGATACAATTATTACATTTTCTATCATATGAACCATCACTTCTTTTGCTTCATCTCCAAATTCTTAACACGTTTACAATCAGTGCTTCGTCTCCAATCTTTGCCATCAAACTGCGATCAAAGTCTAATTTACCTTTTATCATTGACCATCTGGCCGGGTCTTAGGGAACTCTCAGGGATGAGGCTCATCGTTTTTTACATTTTTAAAATATACTACGTACTTTGTATATTTTTTTCATTTTTGAAATCACCTAATTTTTTTGTATTTTTATTTTTCTTGGTACGAACCATTTAGGAATAACTTATTAAACAAGAAAAACTTGCAAATTATGTCCTTAAAAAACTAACAATGACTGAAAAAGGTAATATAAAATGTCCAACACTTAAAACTCCTCAACAAAGTTTTAACGAAAAGTAAAAACACTAGTTTTTACTTATAATTTTACTTATAAGTAAATTTTTTTACTTATAATAGAACACACATAATTTTTTTAAAGTTGTCTTCAATGTCCTACGCATGTAGGATTATTTTTTGTTTCATTATTTAGCATGAAACTCTCAGAGTAAGTCCTCCTCAAAGGTCATGTGTGAAGTCCAATTATTTAATTGGTCACTATATACATTTTCATTTTAGGTGACCAAACAAATGCCGTAGTCATTAGATATGTATGGATATGGACATTACACTTTTACTCTTACAAAATCATCCGACTTAGTACAAGCAAATTCTAGGATCTTATGCATAAAGATCAGATAATATTATTGATCAATTATTAGAAAAGAGACGCAATCAGAAAAAAAATATTCACTATTAGTGCCTAACTCTAGACTTGTACAAATGGAGTATGTCACTAAACCAAAATTGAATCACCTACACCCAGCATGGAATGTCAAACTTGCAGGCATACAAACCTCCATCATCTAGGGCTCTAAGTTGACGAAGGATTGAAGACCTTCGGCTCAAACACTACGAATGCCTCACTTTAACCATTTCTTTATATGTCCATAATTCCCATATGTCCTACACATCCCGTATATAATGCCTCTTATCTTACATGTTTTAAAACTCTTTGTCATATTTTAAGTTCTGTTCACACTATTTGTCTTGAGACATATGAATTATGTTACACTTAATCCAATTCTGAATTACCATTATTTCCATATCAAGTCCTATGCTGCTAGATGTTAATATTTCTTACTTATAATGTTCAATTATAGTATAATTATTAGGGCTGAGCAACGGTCGGTTTCGGTCGGTTTCGGTTTGAAACTGAAAAAACCGACTTTTTTAAACATGGTTCAAAACCGACCGAACCGAATCGACCATAAATTAAAACCGACCAAACCGAAACCGAAAACCGCCCATACATTAAAAAAACCGACTGAAAAACCGAATTCTAATTACTTTTATTTTGATTTTTTTAATATAAATTCAAGAAACTAATTCGGCAAGGTAGATTAATACTCCCTCCGTCCTAAAATGTTCTTCCCACTCACTTTTTACCCGGTCAAACTTTAATCACTTTCTTTACCTATTTTCATTAGGTATTTGATAAAATAATATAATCTTGTCACCACTTGTTTTGTAGAACTTTTGATGTAGTTTTTAAATATATAAATTTTATTTTTTAATTTTACACCTACAATCAAATAAATTGAATCAAAAATAAAGTTGGTCAAACCTCGTAAAATGAACCGAGAAGAACATTATAGGACGGAGGGAGTATGTATTAAATTAGTTTAAATTAAGACTTTTCTATTGTCATTGATTTAGTAAGGTAGATTAATTTTTATTTGAATATACACTATCCATTTCATATAAAAATTGCACTTTTCTTATTAATATGTTCAAAACATTAACAAATAAATTTTTTAAAAGTGAAACATTATAGTTTTCCATGAAAGAGTAAAAAGAAAGCATGTGTGTTAATCAAATATTTTCTTATTTTAAAAAATAAAAAATAAATTAAAATAAAATCATCGGTTATTCGGTCGGTTCGGTTTTTCTTACAAAAAAACCGAAAACCGACCGAAAAACCGAAAAACCGAAAATAATTTTTACATGAAAACCGAAACCGAACTTCCGGTTATTTCGGTTTTCGGTTTCGCGGTCGGTCCGGTTAATTTGCTCACCCCTAATAATTATGATATATAATGTCCTACCAACATTGATAATAATGCATATCCCACATCTAATTTCACACTTAAGACTTTTTTACCACTGTGTCTTTTATTGTACACTAAGGTCATTTAAACAATAACCTTTCCATAATTCATGTCTGGTATGAATAATGATTTTCATAAAACTTTTTGCTCAGACTCTCTTAACAAATCATTACCTAATGTCCCACATTAGTTACTTATGTGCTATAATGCCTTGACCAATCTTTCATGATCAATCTCCATAATCTGACAAGGGAAATTTACTTACATAAGACTAAAACATAATGACTTTGTCAGTATAGGACCATATGTTTTTATTTCTCAATGTAGGATCATTAGTCATTATTCATTAGTCATTATTCAAGTAAATGTCCACCATCACTGGACATTATTCCTCCCACTAGACATTATTAAGTACTATTTAGAGAATAAAAAAGTTTAGGTCCTACATCGAAAAATGACTTATGTTTTAATATTAAGTACTATATATATATATATATATATATATATATATATATATATATATATATATATATATATATATATATATATA